ACGTTGTCCAGACCTGCATCATACCCATACTGGTTGTAGGGTCCGTTGAAGAAGACGTGAGGGAAACGGCGTGGAACATTCTCGTTCCAGCCCGCGTCTCCCTCTTGGACGTAATCGCTGCTGCCGGTCCAGCGACTCCAATACTCCACGCGAACGTGGTTTCCTTTCCATGACTGCTTCTTGGTTCCCGACCATTCGAGTTCCTCAATAGTGTCATTTCCGCCTCTGTAGTCAATCCAATCGGAGAAAGTGGTACCCCAATTCGTAGAATAGCGATACTTATCAGCACCAGCGGCGTGGTGCTGGATGAAAAGGGTGCCGTTGGATTCCTTATGGAGCAAACTAGTTGAATAGTTCGCACTGCTGAAAATCATCGGATTATCGATCTGGCCGATGCGGAAGAGGAAATGGTCGACGGCGTTGGTGGTTGCGTTCCCACTCTCCGTGCTGACATTGTTGACTGTGAGACGATGAATGCCGTTGTACACGCCTGTCAGGTTGGCCGCCCACATCCACACTCCGGGAATCTGGCCGGTCCAGCTGGTGTTAGTGGCGGGGACTGACTTGCAGTTGACACTGCCAGAATCGACAGAGGGGGCCTTTCCAATTTCGGTCGATGATGAAAGGGTAATGGACTTTGTCACCGAGTCGCAATCCATTTCTTCGGAGAAGTAAATTTCGACCTCCACGTTCTCGTCTGCGTTCGGGGCCACGGTCGAGCGGATCGGGACATCGTGTCCCGGAGTGAACTTCGTAATCATCGGCCTGGGTTTAGTAAAGCGGGTTTTAGGCACGTAGGCCCGGAATTCATAGGCGGACATGGTCATATTAGCCAAGCAGCCACTGTATGCAGTTGATCCGTTCAATCCCAACTTGGTGGGGGAATCGATCAGCTGGTGCTCGTCATACGGGTGGAACAGGTTTTTGACCCAGGTGCCACTATCGAAGGGGGCAATCAGAGCTGTATCATTATCCGAGCAGTCAAACTTGTAATCAATGGTGCGGTTCGTGTTGTGGTAAACCAGCCAGACGGGCTGGTTCTTTGCATCGGAGCCCAAATCCTGCACATCCGCGTTCACATCACGAAGGATCGACCAGAGTCCGGTCTCGGTGGCTGTGCCGTTGGAACCGAGATAGTACACGTCCTCGGTGTGGTTCGAGAGCTTTTGAATAGTATAGCCGTCATTGAGGACGGGGAACTGTTCGCGCATCTGATACATGTGCTTAATGATATTGCGCACGGGATGAGACGGGTCACGATGATCGTAGGCCACCGTGGGGTCGTGGCAGCCCTGACGGCCGGACTCAATGGGCCAATTATAGTACTGAGACGATTCCAAGGAGAAACAGCCATGATCCCTCCATGCGGTGGCAGGAGACATGGCCTGCCGACCGTAGATGTAGTTCGATGCCGTGGCATCCAGTACGTAAAACGCCTGTTCCTCGCCCCAGAGAAGGAGCGGAATTCCGGGGAGGAGAAGAGTCGTGATGTACAATCCAAGCAACTGACGCTCCACGCCCTTTTCCACAGTGGGCCAACGGAAGACATCCTGGTTGGTAGCCCCGTACATGTGGCGGGGGTCGAACTTGCCTGTATTCGCATTGACCAGATCGTTGGACTGCAGCATGAGATTCCAGGCATCAACCCAGTCGACTGGCACATCGTAACCGGCAGCCAAGTTACCATCCATGCCCAGGAAGCGGGTCAGCGCTCGGTAAATGGAGTAGTGGAAGGCTGCACCATCAATCGCCTCATGTCCCACTTCACGCAGGAAATATTGGGCGTCGGAAGTGTTGGTCAGCTTCATGGCTGCCTCCGCCGAGTCAGGGAACTGGTTTGGCTGTCTTCCTCGGCCCAAGTAGATGGAACCAAAGGTATTACCACCCGTGATTTCGCCCGCAATGAAGAAGTTCTCTTTTCCTACGGCGCGGGCGCACTCGCGGTACGCATTGGACATATCTCCGAGGGCGTCGACGGTTGCCTGAGTCGCCTTGTCGTACCGGAAACCGTCAATATCGAGCGACTGAATAATGATGCAGGAGTGGCGGATCAAACGCTCGCGCACGGAGGGAACCCATTCACGGAGTCGATCCTGAACGGAGGCGAATTTTGCCAGCTGACGTTGCCAATCGGGGAAGACACCAAAGGCCTCAATGTCACCGTACTGGTCGAAATCGCTGTTGTAACATCCGACAAGCTCCTCGGTGACTGACGCTTGAACGGGGTAGCCATCCTCGAACCAGAAGCGGGGGTAGTCGCACGTCTCGTTGTAGTCATTGCCAATGTCGAAGTCCACATAGCGGCGGTCAGTCTTCCACACCGTTTGGTGTTCCTTCACGGAGAAGGGGGTGGTGGTGTTCAGATAGCCATCAAATCCGATCAAATCACCCATCCTAAACAGTGCAAGTTAGTTTGTTGGGTGGGGAAGAGGAACAAGGCAGCGGTAAACTTACGTTGCGATGGTGTTATCGAAGATAACATACATCCCGCGCTTGTGAATTTCCGTGATGGCATTGCGCCACGTCTGCAGATTACCATAGTGTTGATCCAGCAATGTCGTGTCCAAAGCCGAATAACCGTCAGATCCCCAGGGCTGATTCATGAGGATTGTTCCGGCGAGATAGAGACCCTAAACCATCGTCAGTAATCGATCGCAGCATCGGACAAGCCACGGGGGACCGACCTTGATTCCCATGCCCTGCAAGTAATCCAAGGTATCCAGCAGGCCGGCAACATCGCCACCATGGCGCATCTGATTCGAGCGGAGGTCATGTTCGAACAGGGTGCCATTGATGTTGTCGTTTGTGGGGTCACCGTTGACGAAGCGGTCGAGAAAGAGGGTGTAGACGGGGAAGCGCCAATTGTCCGGGGAGGGGAAGTACTCCCCGGTATGATTGGGCCATGTTCCCCAATAGTCCGCCGGGTTCGTAGCGGACTGGTTCTGATTGAAGTTGTAGTCGACGAGGGACTCGTCGTAGGGCCAGGCCGTTGCAGTTGTTGCGAAACAGGCGAGCAGCGTGCCGGAAATAGCCCACTTCATGCTGGGTGGGAAGGTCGCGGCGACCCGGGATGACCACCGGTCAACAAACCAGGAACACAACGTTGAGCCAGGTCGATGCGATTATTGAGTTCGCCAAAGACTGGAGGGAAAGAATGGGTTCTGACTCGTCACCAGAATTGATTGCGATCTCTCTTCGCTGGGGGGTGCAGGTCACTCAATGATAGTCGGTTGAGTGGATAAATGGGACTGATAACGAGCGATAGATAGGGTGCAGATAACGAGAGAAACACAGGCACGCTTCGTTAACGAGTGAAATCTATGGGGAATCACAATGCAACAACAACTAAAACAAGAAACGATGCATGAGATCAGAGATAAGAGGGATCAAGCGAGAGGAGAGGAAGTGGAAGAGAGAGAGAGAGGAAAGACGATACGAGGAATAGGAGGAAGAGAAAGTGTCAGAGGGGATGATGGGGAACAAAGGCAAGAAATCCAAATGGAGAAAAAAGCTAATCACACTCCAACTAGTAAGGTAATTAGCTAGCAGCGATGCTGAGGCTCAGCAATGAGAGGCTGGACGGGGGGGGCACACATCGATATCCGCGATAGTGGATCGAGGGAGGGGAGAAACGATGAAATGAAAAAAAGAAACAGAAGCAGACTAGACGTCTCGTCTTGTCTCGTCTATGTGTATTTTGCTAATAATAACCCCCAAGCTGACTGGAGAACCACTCTGAATGGCTTCCCGGTGCCAGCTCACTCGTATAGGAATTGTTCCCCGGGTAAGAAAGATATCGAAGCCACGCCGGAGGGACTCTAGCCTTGTCCAGAGCGAGTGGGAGGGGCGGTTCCCTTTGGCTATGACGGAATACTTTTTGCCTGCTCAGAAGAGGACTAGACCGCGGCAGTGCGGTGCAAAGACCAAAAGGGGAATTTAAAAATAAGTATGAAATGAAAAATTGAAAATTCAGAATGGACAAGAGTGAATAAAAAAAAAAATGAATAACGGAAGCGGACCATTGGGTGGTCCGACAGCCATCCTATGGAAAAATATGAGCCAATTCTCGTATAGTAAGTAGGCTATTCGGGAGCCGTTAGTTAGGTTTCCTCTCGGACCGGAAAGCAGTTTAGGGTGGAGCCCAAGGGGCAGTTGGACTGGATCACTGGATGTCTTGAAAGAAGGGTTCTTTCCGCCCACTTGATACCGCCAGGCCCTCACCAATCCCCATTGAGATATAGTCCCTCCCTTTTAAGCCCCCCCGAAGACTGGACCCTTCGTGGCCCCTCCGAGGACTTCCTTATTGTTCCCATCGCCTATATCCGTGCCATGGGAAAGAGATGAAGCAACAGACCCCTTCTGCTGCTGCTGCTTCGAAAGGTATTTTCGGGGCCAATACAATCAATTCAGCCAGATCGTATTCACGCCCAAGCGAAACGATACCTGAAGAGGCAGCAATACGGTGGCGTGCAGCCAATCTCGGTAACGAAAAAACTTTATTGGCCCTCTTCTAAGACACTCTACACAATAGTGCAGGTGATGTCTTACTGTCATCAAGTTGCTCGTTTTCCCTCAATTTCTTTGGGAGGAAATTTTGGGTCTGATAAGGACGGACCCTCCCGATTGGTGGCGGAGGGACCGGGAATTGACTAGTCTACTAGTAGTATACCACTTGAGAGAAGTTGATGGTTGTGATACCGTAATAGTGGTGGTGGTAGTCCGGTAGTCGTTTTTTGTATACTTTAGTTTGTCTGGTGTAAAGGATCAGACGTATACATTATCTGCTGCCCGTAACTCGCAGAAGGGGGAGGTGAGCCATCCCATGCATGCAGCGGGTTTGGTGGTGTGTTTGTTCCTGAATATGGTATGTGTGTGTCTGTGTGTGTATTTTTGGGGCCAACAGTATTATCCCAATCATCATCAATCCGCCAACTTCCGTGGCGTTGATTTCGGGCCTCCAACTGCAAAGAGGGAAAAAATGGAAAAAAAGAAAAGAAAGGCAAAGAAATGAAAACAAGAAAAGAAATACCAAAAATACCGATGAGCCAGTCATAACCCGGAGATGGTTCCATGGTTGATCCCGAAGCGATCCTGACCGGTTGAAAGTTTCCAGAAAGCTGTCACCGACCGAGAGCGGGCCCCTGCACTCTTTGCCTGCTATTTTGGCTCGTCTGCCCGGTTCGACTGCCAAGCCCCTGTGTCACTTTTTCTTACCCTCCCTCGCAGCGGAGAAGGGCAAAACAGAAACATAACATGGAATAAAAGACAGAAAAATCTGACGCGGGCCTTGCCACTTGTTATTCTCTCCAACAAGCCCGAGGAATGATTGATTAAGCATACCATCACCACTGCCTAACAGTACTCGCCCCTGCAGGGTGCCTGCTTTTCTCTTCATGGCACACAGACCCGACACTACTGAGTAAGATGCCAGAAGAAAGATTTGTTGGTGCCACTGGGAAACCATCCTGGCCAGGCGGAAGTGGGTCTCGGGCGAAGGATTTACGGGATCGCAGATTCGAATCTGGATGGTCTTTGGTCGGGTTCCCGTGAGGCTGGCAGCCACACTGGGCTTGGAGAGAGGGTCTTGCTACATGGGTTGGACCCTTGGCATCCCGGTGTGCTATTCTTTTCACACAGCACAGAGAGAGATAGATAGATGGGACTAGTCTTTTTTCAGTCTCGCGGGGGACTAATGAAGGACCCAAGTGGTGACCACTACTGATTTCTGCTAAAGGTCTGATCCAATACAGGCAGCGCCAACCCACTACGAAGCATCGGCCCATGCATGTCTTACTCACTTGGCTTATTTCCATCCCTCGCGGGCCAATGGTCGCCTGCACATTGATTATCAGCCAGGGCAGAATCATCCAGGAGCGAACATTATATAATTTCCGAGCAACACCACCGTTTCCAATAATAAGATTCATACTTGGTTTTTCTTCCTCCCTGGCCCCCACTTGGCGGTAAGGTACCGTCAGTACGGTGAAACTTGCAGCGGCCGCTGGTAATTTCAATTACCCAGATGCTGATTCGGGAAATGCCGCTTTTCCCAATCCTGCCAGGCCAAGCCCGCCGCCAAGACCCTGGCGGTTGGACCTTGGCTCGCCTGGGAAAAGAATACTGAGAAGATCCATCAAATTTGCTCTCGAAAAGGGTGTTCCTCTTATCGGGTTGTCCTGTGTGTTCCAGCCTTGCATTAGATATGAAGTCTATCCAGTCAGTCAATTTATACAAAAGGAGAAAAATATCGCAAGCCCTTCCTTATCTGCTGCCAAGCATCTGGGGTCAACCGTCAAGGAACATGGCGCAAGAATACGCCACGCTTTGTCCTGCTCGTTCCTCTTTTCCCCTTTGTCCACCACACGATCTCCGTCTCAAAATTGGGGGTTTGGAGTCGTCCTCTGCTTTCTCGGACCAGTATATCCGCCGTTGTCTGACTGTCTCACATTATTCAAACTGGTCATAATGTTTCCCCTGGTGGACTAATTCTAGTTACCTACTAGTTGGTTAGTCTCTACCTGGTCAGGGTTCGGAGGTGGAGTCCCTGGCCCTCTTCATTGGATCACCACATCGCCTAAGACGGTGTCTTCCCGGAGATTCCAAGTAGGGCAGACACCACAATGGTTCTACTAAGCTACTAGTCAAGAACATGTCTCACTGGCCCCCTCTTTCCCCCGAATTCGACCCATCGGAATGGCCGGTTCGCTCATCTGCCGCTCTTTGTGCCTGGCAGAAGCATTAGCCCCAGCTCGTGGCAGCGTGACAGGCTTGGTCTTGGAGAAGCCAGAAGCCATTCCCTGGCTGAAAGACTCGTGCCACCGTTGACGCCAGTGGTGACATCTGCAGGGGGAGGGGGTAAGATGAGGAGAAATGTCCCATCTTAAGACCAATGGGAAGGACCAGCTGGAAAACCAAGGAAGTAAGTTAAGTAGTGGTAGTCTGGGGGAGCTGCAGAGGGAACCTCGGTACCACCATCGGCAGGGATCATTGGTTCCTGGTCCTGCGCGGGAGTTCGCCCTGGGGTTCCGGAAAATTTTAAGATATGACCTCGAGGGTTCAGGGGACGCCTCTGATGCCTTTCACACATGGCTGATAATGATGATGATGCTGATGGTGGTGGTGATGATAAGGGAGATGGTTCCATCTATAATTTTCCTCCGATTGGCAATTCCCCCCCCCCCCTCGTGACCTGGGACTTATACTCTACCAATCTGCACTGCACACTCATTGGTCCCCTCTCGAATTGAACTAAAAAGCAGACTAGTTTACCTGTTTATCATCCCATCCAGGGGATTGGACCTGAATGCAGTTAGTGAGGTCCCCTTGCTGCTGCTGCGCTGCTCCACCGGCATTTTGCACCTGCACCTGATGTTCAGTCAAGCTCTTCCCCAGCATTCCACTTCTTCTCGCTTCCCCTCTTCTCTCTCCTCTCCCTCTCCTCTCCTCTCCTTTCCCTTCCCTTCCCTTCCTTCCTCCTCACTCATTCTTTCGCTCTCGTCACATCGACCAATGCATCCTTCACTGAAGTGACCCCCTCTTCCTGGGCTATTCCCTTGCCATTCATTTTTTTCTTTGGATCTGACCATTGCCATTCTTTCTCTACAATCTGGTCCCACTTCTTTCGTTCACTCTTTCATTTCGTGCCTAGCCCGTATCCTTTCTTTTAGCGTAAACGGCTATCTCCCAGCATTCGACGGTCACCTTATCGTATCTCCAAGTCGGGCCCCGCAATTGCTCGGCAGGCACATGTACGCAAACCTTGATCATTAAGATAATTCCAATCTCCCAGTGACTGTAGCCATGGTCTCAATGTCGGCCCTGCGGCACGGGCTTGGGGTCCTCTATCTTGCTAGCTGGCTGGGGTCGTCGCTGGCTGCCAGCACCGAGCAATGGAAGTCCCGGTCAATCTATCAGACCATGACGGATCGGTTCGCGCGCACTGATGGCTCAACCACCTCCCCCTGCAACACCACCGAGGGTCTGTACTGTGGTGGTACCTGGCGCGGCATGATCAACCATCTGGATTACATCCAGGGGATGGGCTTTGATGCCGTCATGATCTCCCCTATCATCGAGAACGTCGAAGGTCGCGTGGAGTACGGAGAAGCCTATCACGGCTATTGGCCCGTGGATCTGTACTCCCTCAACTCGCACTTTGGAACGCACCAGGATCTACTGGACCTGAGTGATGCCCTGCATGCTCGCGACATGTATCTGATGATGGACACGGTCATCAACAACATGGCCTACATCACCAATGGCTCCGACCCCGCCACCCACATCGACTACTCAACCCTGACCCCCTTCAATAGCTCGTCTTACTACCATCCCTACTGTAAGATCACCGACTGGAATAACTTCACCAACGCCCAGCTGTGCCAAACCGGTGACAACATCGTGGCCTTGCCCGATCTGTATACCGAGCATGCCGAGGTGCAAGAAACCCTGAGCAACTGGGCCAAGGAAGTCATCTCCACCTATTCCATCGACGGCCTCCGCATCGATGCAGCAAAACATGTGAACCCCGGCTTCCTGAAGAATTTCGGCGATGCGCTAGATATCTTCATGACCGGCGAAGTGCTGCAGCAAGAGGTCAGCACGATCTGCGATTATCAGAACAACTACATCGGCAGTCTCCCGAATTACCCCGTCTACTACGCCATGTTGAAGGCCTTTACCTTGGGCAACACCAGCGCCCTGGCCACTCAGGTCCAGTCGATGAAGAATTCCTGTAATGATGTGACCGCCTTGTCGTCATTCTCCGAAAACCACGATGTCGCGCGATTTGCCAGCATGACCCATGACATGGCTGTATGAACTCTGCTTGACTTCACAGACTCCTTTCCTAGCTAACATTGTCCCTACTAGCTCGCGAAGAACATTCTCACATTCACTCTTCTCTTCGACGGTGTTCCCATGATCTATCAAGGTCAAGAGCAGCATCTCGACGGCCCCGGCAGTCCGGAAAACCGAGAAGCGATATGGCTCTCTGAGTACAACACCGATGCCGAGCTCTACAAGTTGATCGGCAAGTTGAACGCCATCCGGAAGCACGCCTACCGACTCGACAATCACTACCCGGATGTCGAGACGTATCCCATCTTCGAAGGTGGCAGTGAACTGGGATTCCGCAAGGGAATCGAAGGCCGACAGGTGGTCATGCTTCTGTCCACGCAAGGCACGAACAGCAGCGCTTACAACCTCTCGATGCCGGTGAGTTTCACGGGTGGCACAGTAGTGACCGAGATTCTGAACTGCGTCAACTACACGGTCAATGCCCAGAGTGAACTCGTGGTTCCGATGGATAAAGGAGAGCCACGCGTGTTCTTCCCGGCGGATCTGATGCCCGGCAGTGGACTGTGCGGACTTCCTGTCGCGAATGTCACCTATGCTGCCTTAAGGACGCAGGGTGCAGCGGCGGCGGAGGCTGCCTTGTCGCTGGGTATCAAGACTGATGCAGCTTCTAGTGCTTTGCTTTCACTGGGGCTGTCTGTGGTGGCGGGTCTGGTTGTGGGGATGTGGTAATATGCTGATAGCTACAGATGGGTTGAGATATATTATCATGTTTCTGTGTTCTTTGTATGTATTTGCAGTAACGATACCCTTACCTAGTATTTTGTATATATTCACTTCGCTATATCCACTACTACTCGCAGATACTAGCCGCATCTCACTTTATTCCACGCTAGTTACTAGCACTTCGGCACTAAGCAATAAACAGAACGAAGACAAATTACTAGTCCAGTATATATATATAAATAGAGATCACCTGTAAATTCTTCAGAAAACCCAAACGGGTACCTGCATCCAACAACTGTTGACGATCATGGCTGGCTGATCCTCTGGAGGCAAATCCGTTGGGCCTCGGTAGCTTTCCGAGGAAACCGCCCGAGCTAAAAATACTCGCTCATCAGCCAAACAGGCCCACTTTAAGGACCCATTGAAAATTGAAATGAAGTCATGCACACCGTGTTAACTAGCTAACTAGCTAGTTCTTCTTAGTGTCAAGACAGCAGCTATTCTAACACTCTTCCGTGCTTACACCACAGCTCAGCTCCGTCGCTGCATCCGACTCTTCATCTCTCATCCATCATCCATCCACGCCACATGGACACAGACATAGTAAACCTAGCTAATCCCTCCTCCGCACCGCAGTAAAAAAAAATCCTCACCTCCTCCAGAACCACCAGCAATCCACAAACATAACACAAGAAAAAGAATACAAGCAAAATGTTCAGCTTCCTCCCCTGCTTCAAAACTCGCCGACAACGCACCAAATCCCAAACTCAATCCCAAAAGCAAATAGAGGGTTAGCCAAACACTCCCAACTACCCATACCAATTCAAACCATAGTAACAAATCAACCTCCCAAATAGAAAAAGCCAACGCCATAGAATCCCTCCCCTCATGGCACTCCCCCACGGAAAACACCCTCCTATTTCAAGCCTTCGAATGGCACGTCCCTGCAACCCCCAACACCGCGGACAAGCGCAGCCACTGGCGCCGGCTCCAACATGCCTTACCAGCTATCCACTCCCTCGGCGTAACCAGCATCTGGATACCGCCTGGTTGCAAGGGCATGGACACAAATGGAAATGGGTATGATATCTACGATTTATATGATCTAGGCGAATTCGACCAGAAAGGAGCAGTGCGGACGAAGTGGGGCACGCGCGGAGAATTAGAGGATCTTGTTCTGGATGCAAATGCCCTGGGTGTAGGTGTATTATGGGATGCGGTGTTGAATCATAAGGCTGGGGCGGATAGCGTGGAGAGGTTCGAGGGCGTGAGGGTTGATGATGATCGTATATTCCCCTTTTCATCTTTCCGTTCTTCTATGTTTAGTGTGTATATTGACAAATGCTTCACAGGACGAGATATCGAAGATGGTAATCCCCAACAAATCTCCGGCTGGACGTCCTTCACCTTCCCCGGCCGCGGCACCACATACAGCCCCCTCCAATATCACTGGCAGCACTTCAGCGGCGTCGACTGGGACGACGCCCAACAACGCAAAGCAATCTACAAGATCCTCGACCCTTCGCGCCCCGACAAGAACTGGGCCCAGGACGTCGGCACAGACGAGAACGGCAACTATGACTACCTGATGTTCGCGGATCTGGACTTCTCACACCCGGAGGTCCGGGAGGATGTACTGCGCTGGGGGAAGTGGATTATGTCTGTGCTGCCGTTGAGCGGGATGCGGTTAGATGCGGCGAAGCATTTCTCGACGGCATTTCAGAGGGACTTTATTGATTGTGTGCGGCAGGAGGCTGGGGACAGGAAGGTATTTGTGATCGGGGAGTATTGGAGTGGGGAGTTGAGGGCGCTGCTTAGGTATCTGGAGGAGATGGAGTATCGGGTGGCGGCGGTGGATGTGCCGCTTGTGGAGAGGTTCTCGAGGTTGTCGAGAGTGAAGAGGGCGGATTTGAGGGGGGTGTTGAGGGGGACGTTGGTGGAGAGGAGGCCGGGGAATGCGTTGGTGAGTTTATTCCAGTGATCCAATTTGGGAGTGGTGAGGCTGATGTGTGTGTGTGGTGTAGACATTTGTTACGAATCATGATACGGTGAGTGAATTCCCTTGTGAAGTGAAGGTATATGGATGAGTGCTGAACTGATATCACAAGCAACCGGGACAAATGCTCGAGGTGAGTTGTTACCATTATCAAGTGTCTGATGACGAGCAACGAGCTAACATACAACAGACCATCGTCGAGCCCTCCTTCAAACCCCTAGCCTACGCCCTAATCCTCCTCCGCCAAGGAGGCCATCCATGTGTCTTCTACGGCGACCTCTACGGCACCTGCGACGGCGACCACCCGCCAACTCCCGCCTGCGAGGGCCAGCTTCCGAATCTGATGCGTGCCCGAAAGCTGTACGCCTACGGTGAGCAGGAGGACTACTTCGACCAGCCCAACTGTATTGGTAAGTCAAGCCCTATCCAGTCTGCGACATAGTCTGATAAATGAGAAGGATTCATCCGCTACGGCAACGCCGCCCACCCCTCCGGACTGGCCTGCGTCATGAGCAACGGCGGACCAGCCACGAAGCGCATGTACGTGGGTCGGAAACATGCCGGCGAGAAGTGGACGGATCTGCTGCAGCGAGGCGGTGATCACCCGTGTGTCACGGTGATTGATGAGATGGGGTACGGGGAGTTTCCGGTTCAGGGTATGAGGGTGAGTGTCTGGGTGGATAGTGCGGCAGATGGCCGAGAGGGTGTCGGGGCAGAGTTGTAAGTCTATACCCTATTCCACTTATTGCTCTTGGTAGTCGTGGGGGTGGATGTTAAAAACTGATCCAGGGGATGATGATGATGATGCTAATATTGGAACTATAGTGACGTCGATATCTACGGCATTCAGGCACAATAACTAACCCACCCGGTACTTACTCATTATTGAGAAAATAATGGTGTCCATATATATCTCTAAGACACGATGTAATTAATACAATTCACAATGTAACTATTTTCCAGACTAGTTTTACTATAGTAAGACAATACAAGACAACCAAACAATAACAACAATACTACAGAGTAATAATTAATGTATCCACACAAACTAGTCTACTCCATCCTTCCTACTACTAACTCCAAGACACACAATCACACACAGTAAGACACAATCTCACCCAAAAATAATCCCTCCGTTCATCCAAGCGAGCGAGAAACCAAAAACCCAAAACCCGAAAACTAAAAGAAAAGAAAAAATAATCTGAACTGCCGTGGACCCTCCTTACCCAATCCAGTAACCCATTCGGTGCTGCCCGACACGGTAACAATCTAGCCGGAAAAGAGACTCAGACTAATACGGGCTTCCGAAACTTCCTACCCGTATTTTTCAATTCCACAAATACCGGCCAGGTCTGCTAGTATTTGCCATTGATTGCCCTACAGGGTCTGGGTTCATTCCCGAAAGGGTCCAGGGCCGAGTGAGTGATCCATGGATCGTCAAACAACACAAGTATGGTGTGTGTGTCTTCGGACATGTCCTTAATTGGTATTTACCTAGCTGCCTAACTGTTCTTTCTCGGTTGGAGGTGCCGGGGCCGTGGCTCTCTCTCTCTCTTTTTCAGTCACTCACTCACTGTCTAACGTGCAGTGCAGCACATGGTAGACCGGTCGCACATGGAACGGAACAATTCCAGGGATTTTGACTAGAATGCCGAACCACGGATACCAAACACCAGGATCTTCTTCGGTGAAAAGAAAAAATAAAAGTAATGGATATATGCTATAGACCATTAAGTAATAAGCTACACTTAGCTAGAAGTAATCTATACAAGCAATAAACTGGCAGTATTGCTTTCACCAATCGGGTAGTAGAAGAAAAAAAAAAACTCCATCACACACTCATTCACATCCCCACCATACTACATCTCATCCATTCCACAAAATAGAAAGCTGGCTTGGGGTCTGGTCTGGTTTGGTTTGGCTTACAACTGCATAGCCACAACACCCAACACCAAACCGGCAGCAACAGACACCGGCGCAGCAAGAGCCATACCCGCGCCCGTAGAAGCCGGCGCCGTGGTCTCGGTACCGCTGGCAGAGGCAGTAGAAGTACCCGAAGCAGAGGCAGAACGGGTCGAGGAAGCTGTAGTCGATAGAGTGTTAGCACCCGAGGTAGTAGTGGTTAATTTGCTGCTGCTGCTGCTGCTGCTGCTGGAGGAGGAGCTAGTGCTGGAGCTAGTAGTGGTGATGGAGCTGGATCCAGTGGAGGATGAGGAAGTGGAGGAGGTATCAGTACCAGTAGAAGTTCCCGTGGAAGAAGAAGAAGAGGAAGAGGAAGTAGAGGCGGAAGTAGTCATGGAGGCGCTGGCGGTGGTGGTGGAGCTAGAGCTAGAACCACCCTCGACGGTGAACTGCTCGGACTGAGCGAGAATACCGCTGTTCGTGGAGGAAGTGGAGAGGAGGTTGATTTGGTAGCCGGAGCTGTAGTTCTTGTTAGCATATGATATAAAAAAAAAAAAAAAATGACAGGGTGTAGGGAGAGAACATACCCATCGGTAACGCCGGACAGGTCGGACACGGTGTAGGAGCCCTTGGAGGTTTCCACGTCGGAGGCGACCTTCTTCTCTACGGTGGGGTAGACGGCGTTGTTGACCAGGTAGAGGTCGAAGGTGGTGGGGTCGGTGCTGTTGTATGAAGGTGAGTATATGTTGCATGGTTTAGGGCTGGTGAAGGGAGAGGGAGGGAACGTACGAGACGGAATCCCAGGTCACAGTGAAGGAGCTGGAAAGATCGACATCTTCACCCTTCTTGGGGGAGGTGACCTCGAGGGCTGCATAGAAGTTAGATGACTGTATCAGAAGAATTGAGTGGGGGGCAATAAGAGTGTGGACTAACCGCCGACGAAGGCAGCCAGAGGCAGAAGAGACACGGCGTAAGAAAGACGCATGGTTGTAGAGGTAGATGGTTTCTGAAGAAAAAAGGGGGAAAGGGTATCAATTGATTATTATGATAGAAGAAAGATCGAAGAGTGATGGAAGGAAGCAAAAGAGACAGAAATATGTCGGAGGAGACCCTGGTTAAATAGAAGTGTTAATGGGGTATCCAGTTTGCCATCATGTCTCACAAATGCTACTAGTTATGGCCGAGATGACCAAATCTTGAACGGGTTCAGTTCAGTTCAGTTCTTATCCACCCCCAAAGAAAATCTCGGAGAATGAACCGAATCAATTACATGACAACAACTACTGCTACTACTTACACTTAAGTCAAGTAGATCCTCTGATGGTCTGTGAGTGGGTGGCTTCTCAATTCTTGGATCATTCTGTAAAACAGACATGCTATATATAGCCGGGTGGTCAGGAACCAGGGAACGGGGCGAACGGGGGATGGTGAGGTTTCTGATGACAGGCGATTGATGCTGGCGCAGGATTGGGCTGGTTTCAGGTGGACAGGATGCAGCGTGGACCAATAAAGACTCGATTGATAACGCATGGGGCTATTTGCTTATGCGGATGGACTGGATAACTAGTTACTTTACAAAAGATAGGGTAGACTGGAAAAAGACCTGTCAGAATCACTCCCTCTGTCTGCTCTCCCTCTGCTCAAATTCTCTTTCTCATCGCACCGCCACTTCTCGTAGTCCCACCTTGGCAGAGTTAACCCCATGCATAGGCAATAATGCATTCGACAGCCCTGATGATAATAATTCAGTCCTCGACTGCTCAGGTCCAAAACTTAAAATCCCGACCAGCGCAGAATAACTTTCCCCTCTCCATCAGCTCATCCCAACCTACCCCTAGACCTCCTATATTGCTTCCCATGTTGCACTTTGTGCTTCTTATCAGTTCTGAGAGTCGTCATCCTCCCAGTATTACTTGTTTTTCTTTTTTGCCAGACGCAAGGGGGCTCCACTCAGTGTGTGCCTTATCAAGCCTGGCGGTTAACTAACGAACTAGTCATCACGAGACTAACCAACTTCTTCACTAACCCTGTATCTGCCCGCCCAATCAACCCAGCACGATTGAGTCTTTGTTCAGTGCCCACGCAATCCTACATTTTAACTCCGCGCCTTCGTATTCCCTGATAAAGCCGAGATTGAGTGGCTGGCAGCCTTGCCTTTCTTTTACTTATTTGACTGCAGGAACACATTTTCCCCGCCCCCCTTAATTGCAGATTTCCTTGCACAAGAAACGATACTGTGCAACATCCTCACTGTAGATGTAAATGTAATGTGTTGTCGATCCGTTCCTGCCGCCCTATTGAAAAGATGGAGTTAATAGCGGGGTTATCTGTAGAGCAGACTAATGGCTTTTACATTTTGATGAATTCTGGTTGTGACTGGCCAGTGTGCCATGGACCGTTAGATATGTACTTTTAACTATAACACGTAGGTTATCAATGCATATCTATCTATCTGCGACCCGCTGATACGTCTTGTTGTTTTCAGTCAATTCATGTGTTGCGATTGTCAGATGCTATCCAAATTGGACCAATATATCCAAAACCGTGTCAAAGCTGATAACCAGTTCTGATATGCACGAAGGTTTATATCTTGGACCTCAATCCTAGCCCCTGTTGCAGGGTTGCTACACACATGTTGTGTCAGCTAGGTACTAAGTTCTTACTGGAAGTCAGGGGGCGGTCCGACGTGGTACATTTAATTCAGCTGAGACTGAATGTATTTGACGCATGGTGGGCATATTCTTGGAAGGTGGTGAGAGAAACTACTCTCGCGAAATATGCTTCAATTCCTTCTGATGATCGCATTAAGTAGTAGTTATCCTAACATACACTGGCAGATAGATTAATTACTCATTTTCTCATGAACACAGAGTATCTCATCATTACAATTTACACCCTTGTCCGGGTCCAGGGCTTGAAGCTGTTTACCAGGCAACCGTCGAGCTCAGCCCATCCAACTCGCGCTGGTAGTTCCGGTGCTGCGCGATCTGGTAGAAGAACATGCCCACGAAATCCTTGGCGCCCTTCGCGATCTGCACGCTTTCCTTGAAGCTCTCCGGCTTCTGCACGCCACCGGCCGTGACCACGCCATACCATTCCACGGGCTGTGGGTTGGAGCTGGTGGCCACTTGCACGTCCAGCACGCTACCCAGCGCCTCCTTGATTAGCTCCGCCGCTTCACCCGTACCAGCCAGTGGCTTCAGGTGGCCAAATGTCTCGGCAATCCAGTACCGCATCTGTCCATTCTTGCGGAGCGTCTCCACATGAGGCCCACCGGGAATGAACGTCGCATCGAACATGGTTGATCGCTGTCCATCATACTGGTGGTCGGCGATGATGCCCTGCGACGTCTCCTTCGATTCTCCGTCGGCATAAATGGGTGACCGCTTAGTGCCGATGACAAACGGCAGAGCACCTGCCACCTTCACGGCGGTTTGAATTCCCTTGAATGCCACCGGGTCGTATCCGTCGCCAATTACGATGGCAATGCGCCGACTAGCGATGGTCGGAGACTTGGGGGGAAATTCAGTCTGGGAAACATGGATCGTCTTCCGGCCGTGGTTGGCCATGAGGGCCTTCTGAGGAATCGGCGCGCCCACGACTTCCGCCACCTGCTGCGCCAGGGTCAGGTCAATCTCCGCCAGACGCTTGCCGGCCATGCGCTCGTAAACGATAGGGTCATCGCAGTGGTCCAGCTCGAACCCGAAAGCCTTGACGATGTGCAGCTTTTCGTGCTCCGACATGGAGTTGTAGAAAAGTTGGGCCTGGGAGTGGTGTTCGCGGAACTTGGGGCTCAACGCGCGCCTCTTGCGGTCTTGTACCGGTTCTGGGTAGGACTCGAAGCCACCCCCCTGGGGAGCGGGCTCGTCGGGCTTCGCCGCTTCGAAGCGGTTGGGCCAGTAGTTGACAGAACCCTTGGTGATGCGGTGTTTCATGGCACCGTCGCGGTTGTGGTTTAGCACGGGACAGACGGGACGATTGATGGGCAACTCCTCCCAATTGATTCCGAGACGGCTAATCTGGGTGTCGAAGTAGGAAAAGTTGCGACCCTGGAGGAGAGGATCATCGGAGAAGTCGATACCGGGAACAATGTGCGATGTACAGAATGCAACCTGCTCTGTCTGTGGGAAGAATTCATCCACGTTGCGGTTAAGCTCCAACACACCAATGGTGCGGGGCGGAACCAGATCCTCTGGCCAGATCTTGGTCGCATCGAGAATGTCGAATTCGAAGTCATCCTGTTTCTCTTCAGGGATGGTCTGGATAGACAGATCCCACTTTGGATACGCGCCATTGTCAATGGCCTCCATCAGATCCTTACGATGGAAGTCCGGATCTTGACCCGCCAGCTTCAGAGCTTCATCCCAGACGAATGAATGTACTCCTAGGTGAGGCGTCCAGATGAACTTGACAAAGTGGCGCTTGCCCTCTTTGTTGATAAGCGAAAAGGTGTTGACACCAAACCCTTGCATCATCCGATAGGACCGGGGAATGGCACGGTCCGACATGGCCCACATGAACATGTGAGTGGCTTCTGGGTGCAAGTAGCAAAAGTCCCAGAAGTTATTATGAGCGGTCTGCGCTTGAGGGACCTCATTATGGGGTTCAGGCTTCACAGCGTGGACTGCGCCAATTAGTCAAGTCAGGGATGAGGAAATGAATTGGAATGGACGCACCGAAATCAGTGAACTTGATAGCATCCTGGATGAAGAAAACCGGGATGTTGTTTCCGACCAGGTCCCAGTTACCCTCGTCGGTGTAGAATTTGGTTGCGAACCCACGAACATCACGCACCGTGTCAGCGCTTCCCTTGCTGCCCTGCACGGTGGAAAAGCGGACAAAGACTGGTGTGTTCCGCGATGTGTCGGTTAGAACCTTGGCATAGGTCACGTCCTCGCAGCTTTCGAGTAGCTTGAAGTTTCCGAAAGCGCCGGTTCCACGGGCATGGACGACACGCTCGGGAATCCGCTCGTGGTCGAATCGGTGAATCTGGGATACGATCAGCCATCTGAAATTTCCATTGTATCAGCGCAGGCATATGGAAGTACCTTCTCGCGCGCAATCTGATCCTCTAGCAACGATGGACCAGTGCGATGGTCGTCGACTGACCGCAGCCAGTTGTCGGTATTGCTGATGAGCACGCCGTGGTCGGTGGTCTGACGCTGCTCGGTGGTGACATCGACCAGGTCGCGCTCCAAGTCGACCGTCTTCTTGTTCTTAGAAGAGGCCGACTTGACAGCTTCGTGAGCCTTTTCAAGCCCTCCGGCAATGACCGTGGCCATAGTGAATCTGGGGGGTTGCTGGGAATAAAGCCAATGGTAAGGAACTCGATGAGAGCTTATGGATGGCAACAGAACAATTCCTGCGACCGGGGGATGAGCCTACATTATGTATAACGATATATGACCATCGGAACACTTCCCAGTTCTGCGAGCCAGTCAAACATTCTCTGTAATGAGGGTTGTCGGATTGGCTGTCTGGCACGTAACCATGACGTTGCGACCGAGACGTCACCGTGACCACTTTCTTCCCCCAGCTCCATCTGGTGCTTTAGAATGCTTAGAAATCGGCAGGCTTGTCATCTAACCGACTCAGGGTCTAGGCATGGAGGCCAAATCAGGCTGACTTCTCACGAACGAGTGGTGCTCAAAAGCGCTCATTGGAGAGTTCACGGGCAGTGGTAGGAGTGATGTTAATGATGTTATCCAAGTCGGTCCTCATCGGCAAAGGCGCTCCGATAAGCGATAAGGAGTATGATGCATTCGCCATCCATCATCCACCGCATCATCTTGCAATTTCCAGGATAAATGAACCCTAAAGCCTGAAACTTGACAGTGGAGCACTACATTTAGTCGTGCATCAATTTGCAACACAGCCATGCATTGTACCAGTACCTCCGACCAGTACCTCTGCGCGATAACTTGAGGCTTGGCCTCCCGAGAGCATCCATCGTTAGTAACCTCGTATGGATTAGTTAGCCCAGTCCAGTTTGACCGTCTGCTAGACTAGCGGCTGAAACGCGGAATTGCCGATTACTTGTACCCCGCATAGCATCCGGTTTGTGTTCATCCAGACGCGTCACAACTAGTATCAATCACAAGCTTTGCCGTCGTGGTGCTCGTTGCCGATCGACTCAATCTGTCGACAAGCTGACACGCCATATCAATGCGACAGAAGATCAAGCAACTCGACCTAGACGGTCGCGAGGGCCATGATGCCATCTTCGAGGCCTCCTACCTGGAAGATATCCCGGCCGCCCTGCAGGAATGGGGCGCGTCTCGCATCCTTCTGGTCGTGAGCACGACCCTCGACACCAAAACATCCATGATCAAAGACTTGGAGGCCCGTCTATCCCATTGTGTGCTACAAAAGAAAACGGGAGTGGGAAGTCACTCCCCATACCGGGACATCATGGCTATTGCCCATACCATCCAAACACAGGACATTCAGGCCGTCATCTCTATCGGGTCCGGTTCCTACTCCGACGCATGCAAGATCGCCGTCATGCTCAGTGCAACTCTCCCCGCCGGCTTCGGCATTGACGATATGGAAGCCCTAGTCGATCAGGTTCACGGTCTGGCTGGCCCCGGCGGGATTAAAGCACCCACCACCAAGCTCATCTGCGTGCCGACCAGTCTCAGCGCCGGAGAGTGGAACCACTATGCCAGCGGCACCAATGCTCAGGGCAAGAAACAGCACTTTGTGCACCCCGAAGGATCCCCGAGCTTGATCCTGATGGACCCGCGCATCGCGAGTACCATGCCCTCCCACCTGTGGCTGGCGTCGGGGGTGCGGGCTGTGGATCATTTCGTGGAGACACTGTGCAATCCCGAGTGCCACGAGGAAGCCACGGCGCACATCAAGAAGGGGCTGCCAATCCTGATCCAGGGTCTCAAAGATTATCACACCGGTCAGGAAAAGCATAATGAGGAGGAATTGCTCCAAGGCATCTCGGAATGTCAGCGCGGTTCACGGGATGCTCTCCTGCCCTTCATCCAATGGAAGATTCCCATGGGGCCAAGCCATGCGATCGGTCATCAACTCGTGAGTCCGCTCTTTGGTGGCGCATCTACGTCGACTGTACCGCGATAATGATCTACTAACCACCAAGATTCTGCGTAACAGGGGAGTGTCGCTGGCGTGCAGCATGGTAAGTGGTCCAGCAATCACTCAAAATTGCGGAAAGTAGAAAGCCACTAACCGTTCTACGTATATCCAGGAGTAACGGTAACTAAATCCGAGACAGCCACCTACTGTGGAAACACCTACTAACCTTTCATGTGTTATGTAGAGTTGCATCATCTTGCCCGCAACATTGCGATACACCAAGCCTCAAAGCGCGGCTGCCCAGAAGGTAATCCTCGACATCTTCAACTCGGTGTTGGGGTTCCAGGAGACTGAAGCCGCTGACGCCATGTTACGGTTTGTGCAACTCCTGGGGATGCCATCCCGGCTGTCCGAGGTCAACGTGACCAGTGACGAGCAGTTGCACAAGATCGCCGATATGAGTTTGACCGACGTCTTGGCGAAGAGAGTGAACATGCCCGACAAAGCTGGTGTGCTGCAGATCCTCGAAATGGCTCGGTAAACAAGTATTGTGCGGCGGGTCGACTGAGGCGTCTTCAATTCCCACTTCTCCGTACTGGACTTTTAGGAGGATATTTCACCACGAGGAGCGGAAGACTGCCCGAGAAGTTCAAGCTGTTCTTGAATTCCCTTTTTGTGCTTCTGTTTTGTTCAAAGGTCCAGCAACTGTGGGATGGGTCGTGGACGCGCGTCCAGAAAGCGCGCGGGAAGGAATGGGAAGAAGCAGCGCATCCGAGACTCCACTGACGTCATAAGTCACTGCACCTTAGTTAGTTGGCAGTCAGCAGTTAGACTAGTTAGACAGTATATCTTTGAGACGCCATCTGGCATATCCGGACATAGATGCACATAATCGCGAGCTGCTGCCCATTCGAACGTGACAGCTTCTGAGGTATGTAGTCAGACCCACTCACATAGGGATTGACACTGAGCCATAAGCCCCACAAGCAGATACTTGTCAAATTCTGTATACGGCAAACAAACCATCACCAGTTGGAAAATACCAGACTGCAGCGAACATGCCTTTTAGTTCTCAGGATTCCGGAGTGACTGGCGCCGCCAAATTCGTCACATCGACCCTCGGCAACGCGGTCGGGGGCGTCTCTCGCACCGTTGGCGGGGTGACAGGCGCCGCGGGGCGAGGTGTCGGCGATACCATCACCGGCGCCACGGGGAGCGCAGGGAAGCCCGTTGGCGATGCATTGGGGAGCGTGGGAAGCGGCGTGGAGGATGGAGCCCGGAAGGTTGCCAAGGGAATTGAGGATGCTGGACAGTGGAAATGAGAGGGGTTGAGGAGATCCGGATGATGAGGAGTAGAGTAAACAATGATGATGTCGGTCGGTAGGCGGTGTGTCAGGTTGAGTGGTCTCCCTGCACTTTGACGGACTCTTATTATATTGCTCGCGATTGGTGAATAATTACCTAGGAGCAATCTGGACGACCCTTAATGAATATATTGCTTCATTGTTACTCCTTTTGATAATTCCTTACATCTGCAGGTACAGAACCTCTACATAACTGTGCTTGCATATATTGGCGGCATAATATCCCCTGGAGGAAAGCGGTCAGTACTAGCAGCACTAGGATGGCGGTCCAATATGCAACTGTTACGAAGTACTACTACTATTTATGTTGGCTAATAATATTATTATTTGCTTTTTTTAAGGGGGTACATCATGTCCACAGTCGAAAGATCCTGATGGTGCTTACTAGTAGTTCCTGTCAGCTTAGTAGTGAAACTACTACTGGTACTATTAGTAGTATCCTCCTTTGTCCTTATGCGGCTGTGACACTCCTGCCGAGTAGTAGTATATATTTAGCCTTTAAAATGCAACTACAGATTACGACATCACCATGCTGCCCTGAGCGCAAGGCACAGCCCCTCAATAGTAGAGATACATTGCAGTAGCGTGTTCAGTACGACTACGACAAGTACTGTGGTAGTTGTCACCTACTGATCCCTTTCTCTGACACAGTAGTAGCAATAAACCATTGCATGAAAAAGTGAGATCGTTGGGATCCGAGCTGGCTATAGCGGAAGCAATACCGGATAAAAGTGCATAGGTTAATATAATGACGGCTATTCTGCGCAAGAGAATACTGAAAGGGGCAAGATGGCCCATCCCGGATTGATAAGCAGCACACTGCCCCGTCATCCGGAGGGGCAATTCACAGTTAGCACTTGGTAGATGCTGGATACCTCGTGTTGGTGGTTACTTTGCTACTACTAAGCAAGCCGTCAGCAGCAAAATCGATGTCGACCCAGCCTTGCGGATCCAGGGTACAAGGGAACCGCCACTGGAGCCAACCCTTGTTTTCCTTTTGACCTGCTTGACTCCGGCACCCCGACTCCGAGAACAGAACGGATAGCGGAAGATGGGAGGAAAACCTTAAACTCCGAGCCAAATTAACTAGAAGAAGAAGGCCAGAGAAAACCCGAAGAAGGGCATGGGCTTAACTAAGCCGACCGGGGGGACGGCTGAGTCAGCGCAATACTAACCAGATGGAGGGCTGTGAGTGGCTCAATGGGGGTTAGTGGACGGGTTGCCTCAGTGCGGCATCCACGAATTGAGGCCCGTCGCCGGCCAGTCCCGGCTCAGGCTTGAGCTCGCCTCCTCACTCTACTGACTAGTTCTCACTACTAGTATTACTCTCACTGCCTCCTCCTCTTCTTCCAGCCCCGGCCTTTCTGCCAGCCATCCTGCGGCTTCTCTTCCCCCATTCTGTCTCTTCTGACTCCTCCACTTCCCTCCGCATTCCACCTCCTGGCATCTTACTGTTGCTGACGCTCAACTGCCCCTCGATACATCCCGCGTCGCTTTTCCCCCCCGATACGCGCGTCAAGCCCCGTCCGCCCTTGATCTACCCTGCTAGCTCCGCTACACTTGATTTTCTGTTACTCTCGCCGAACCCTCCGATCGTTGCGATCTCGCGAACAACCACCACCCCCGCCTCTCCTCCCCGCCGTTCATTTCGTCGGGTTCGAAGAAGCGACCGGGTCTGGAGCGGACTATTGCGACAAATTTCCGCTCCCTGTCTCGAATCCGCCATCCTTCGTCATCCGGTCAATCCACTGCGCGACTGTGATTGCTTGCTCCCCGAAGGCCTGCGTGGCCGCCTCACGCAGGGTCCCTCCGTCCTAGCCGATCCGATGATTGCCGTCCGCCGTTGAACATAGTCCGGGAATCACCCATTGTAAATGGATCCCATACAAGGGAAAGGGGACGAGGAACTGAGTCGGGCCTCCGACGAGGTTCCCCCGATTCCCAACCAGGAAGCCAAATCTACTAAGCGCGCACGATGGGCGACAAAACGCATGACCGCCGCCAGCGGTCTTCGGAAGAGAGTCTCCATTCTGGAACGTGGCAATCGACGTAATACGCGGAACAACACGACTGATGCAGCAACCGCAGGGCCAGAGAGCAATGAAACAGAAACAGCTTCATCGCGGAAAGTCTACTTCAACCTCCCCATCCCGGACAGTGAGCGGGATGAGGAAGGCAATCTGAAGACCGTCTATCCCCGCAACAAAATTCGCACCTCCATCTACACGCCATTGACGTTTATTCCGAAGAACCTGTGGTTGCAGTTCCACAACATTGCCAATCTTTACTTCTTATTCGTCATTATTCTGCAGTGCTTTTCCATCTTTGGAGATGCTGACCCGGGCCTGAGTGCCGTCCCCCTGATCATCATCGTGGTGGTCACTTCAATCAAGGACGCAATCGAGGATTGGAGGCGAACAGTGTCCGATAACGAGCTCAACAACTCCCCGGTTTATCGTCTGACCGATTGGCACAATGTCAACGCCACCCTCGACAACGTGTCCGCGTGGCGCAAGTTCAAAAAGGCCTGTACTCGGGCCACCATTTACACTTACCGTGGCATGAAAAAGCTCGTGCGCCGCAAGTCCGCGGACAAAGACGTGGCGGGAGATGTTGAGATGGCGGATGCCCGGCCATCCGTGGAACCCACCTCTCCGATCGAGTTGAGGGCCGTGTCCCTCGATGCCCGTGCTTCCGGGGATTGGCCGGATCCTGCAGATCAACACGGTAGAAATGCGGCCTCGGGCCGCGTCAAAGGCGACATCCTCAATCCGACCAAAACTGCTTCCGGGCAGGCTCGCTTCAAACGTCAGCATTGGAAAGATGTCAACGTCGGTGACTTTGTGCGGCTATACAACGGTGACCAGATCCCAGCGGACATGGTCATTCTCTCAACCTCTGATCCGGACGGTGCCTGCTATGTGGAAACCAAAAACCTGGACGGGGAGACCAATTTGAAGGTTCGCCATGCCCTTAATTGTGGTCGCGCGGTACGGAATGCTCGCGACTGTGAAAGAGCGGAATTCATTATAGAGAGCCCTCCCCCGCATGCGAACCTGTATTCGTTCAGTGGTGCCATTTACTGGAACCAACAGGACGATCCTGAGGCGCCCCCCCAGGAACGCGTGGAGCCCATTACCATCAACAATATCCTCCTCCGTGGTTGCAGCCTTCAGAACACGGAATGGGCGTTGGGTGTGGCCTTGTTCACCGGTTCAGAATCCAAGATCATGCTGAATCAGGGCATCACCCCGACTAAGCGACCACAAATGGCACGTAATATGAACTGGAACGTTCTTTACAATTTTGCTATCCTCTTCATCATGTGCTTGATTTCCGGTTTTATCAACGGCTTTGCTTGGGGACTGGATGATGCATCCTTGGCTTTCTTCGAATACGGCTCCTATGGCGGATCCGCCGCCGTGGAAGGTGTTGTTGCCTTCTGGGTGGGTGTGGTTCTCTTTCAGAACTTGGTTCCCATCGCCCTGTACATCTCATTGGAAATTGTGCGCTGGATCCAAGCGCTCTTTATATTCTTCGACCAGCACATGTACTACGAGCGGCTGCAGATGTCTTGCGTTCCAAAAGCTTGGAACATCTCCGATGACATCGGGCAGATCGAATATATCTTCTCGGATAAGACAGGTACTCTGACACAGAACGTTATGGAATTCAAGAAATGTACGGTCAACGGGGTCGCATATGGCGAGGCCTATACCGAGGCTCAGTTGGGAATGCAGAGACGACAGGGTTTGTTGAACGTGGAGGAGGAAGCTGCCAAGGCTCGTCAACGTATCAGCGACGGTCGCGTGGAGATGCTGCAGCGACTGCGTCAACTGCACGATAACCCATACCTTAAGGACGAAAACCTGACCTTTGTCTCGCCTCAGTACGCAGCGGATCTAGGTGGTGCGTCCGGCGATGTCCAGAAGCAGGCTGTCGAGAGTTTCATGGCCGCGCTGGCGTTGTGCCACACAGTGGTTACGGAACGGATCCCAGGCGACCCTCCGCAAATCGAGTTCAAAGCCCAGTCTCCTGATGAGGCTGCCTTGGTGGCTACTGCTCGAGATTGTGGGTTTACAGCGATGGGTCGCTCGGGAGATAGCCTCCTTGTCAACATCATGGGCGAAGAACGCAGTTATCGGATTCTGAACATCCTGGAGTTCAACTCGACGCGTAAGAGAATGAGTGTCATCGTTCAAATGCCGGACGGAACCATCCGTTTGCTGTGCAAGGGTGCTGATACAGTCATCTACTCTCGCTTGGCTCCTGGTCAACAACGGGAGTTGAGGGATATCACCTCCCAGCACCTTGAGACCTTTGCTCAAGAAGGTCTTCGTGTGCTTTGTGTGGCAGAACGTATTCTTGACGAGGAATTCTACCGCGAATGGAGTCTTAAGCATGACGTGGCTGCAGCGGCCATCGTGGACCGCGAAGAGAAACTGGATGAGGTCGCTGGTATCATTGAACAGGATCTGATGCTCCTAGGTGGCACAGCCATTGAAGATCGGCTGCAAGATGGTGTTCCCGATACCATCTCTTTGTTGGCTGACGCCGGTATCAAGCTCTGGGTCTTGACAGGTGATAAGATCGAAACCGCCATTAACATCGGCTACTCCTGCAATCTTTTGAACAACGACATGGATATTATGGTATTGAGTGCACCGGATTCTGATATGGCTGCGAAGGAGCTGGACAGCAAGCTCGAACAGTTTGGAATCACTGGCTCCGACGAGGAATTAGCCGCGGCACGCCAGGACCACTCGCCACCGCCATCGACCCACGCCCTTGTCCTCGATGGGGACTGTCTTCGATTGATGTTAGACGATGCCTTGAGGCAGAAATTCTTGTTGCTTTGCCGGCGCTGCAAGTCCGTCCTTTGTTGCCGTGTCAGTCCCGCCCAAAAGGCGGCCGTTGTTGATATGGTCAAGACTGGTTTGAACATCATGGCTTTGTCGATTGGAGATGGCGCCAATGATGTCGCCATGATCCAAAAAGCGGATGTTGGTGTAGGTATTGCAGGAGAGGAAGGTCGCCAGGCAGTCATGTGTGCCGATTACGCCATCGGTCAATTCCGGTTCCTGCAGCGTCTCATTCTCGTGCATGGACGGTGGTCGTATCGACGGCTGGGTGAGACCACGGCCAATTTCTTCTACAAGGTAAGTAAATCCTCTGGTGTCGGAGTGGAGTCATCGGCGGGTTATAGCTTGGGTTAGATCTCTGATACTGATTTTGCCTAGAACTTGGTCTGGACGTTCGCGCTGTTCTGGTATTCGATTTATGACAACTTCGACGGCTCCTACCTCTTCGAATACACGTATATCACCCTGGTGAACGTTGCGTTCACTTCTCTACCAGTCATCTTCATGGGAATCTTCGATCAGGATGTCGATGATAGGGTGTCTCTGGCCGTACCGCAGCTCTACATGCGGGGTATTGAGCGTAAGGAGTGGACGCAGTTGAAGTTTTGGTGAGTCTGCCTGCTACATCCCAAGTCTGCGGTCATGAGTTCAAGCTAACGGGTAGATCAGGATCTACATGCTCGACGGCTTCTACCAATCCATCATCTGTTTCTTCATGCCATACAGGCTGTACTCGGTGGCCAATTTCCAAACAGAAAACGGACTCAGCATCGATGACCGGTACCGCGTGGGTGTGTTAGTCGCTACCTGTGCTGTGGTTGCTAGCAACACTTACGTGATGATGAACATGTACCGTTGGGATTGGCTGACCAGTTTGATCAACGCGATCAGTTCACTGTTGATCTTCTTCTGGACTGGTGTCTACTCATCTTTCGAGTCCTCCATGACCTTCTATGGCGCTGCCCGTCAGGTCTATGGTGCGCTATCATTCTGGGTGGTCCTTCTTCTGACCGTAGTGATGTGTCTCATCCCACGATTCGTCATCAAGTGCATTCAGAAGGTCTACTTCCCGCTGGATGTCGACATCGTCCGAGAACAAGTGATCCTGGGCCAATTCGACTACTTAAAGAAGTACGAAGCATATGTGCCTCCCGGTGTCACCAAACTGGCAGCTTCATCGGACAGCGAAGCCTCGACCATTCCCTCGGACGGGGGCCATACCCCGCAGCCTCACGTTAGCCGCGACTATCCCATGCCTCATGGAGTCGACCGCACGGCGGACTCGACGCCTGTTGCCCCGTTAGTCGATGCCCAAGGCGCGCCAACCAACCTGGGCAGTCAAGTGACCAGCGCCAACGCGAGTAGCGTGGCCTTTGGACTCCAGCGTCGTGAGTCTTCCGAGAGCACCAGCCGAGACCAATCGGCATTTTCAAGCCAACTTCTAGCCGTCGATTCCACCAGCATGGAACCCCAAATGCCTCACAGTCCACTCAAAAGCCGCAGCGATCCCTCGACATACCCTGTATAGATAGAGTCCGAGTCACTTTACCCTGCTTCTTTCCCCCCGAAAACTGTCGATATACACACACACCACATCCGACTCGTTGCGATTTGACCAAAAGCTATTCAGCAACTTTCTCATTATCTATTTTCCATTTTTGATGCCTTCTATGAAGTTATCTGCCATTGTTTTTCTCCTTTTCTTTTCTTTCTGAGTTACCCTGGAGTTGGTCGGTTTTCCTTCGAATTTCTTCATTCTATTGGTATTCCCCAACTTCACGGTGCATTTTCTTTTTATTATTTCTTTCCTCTTACCACCTCTCGTCCTGCCGATTATACACCTACCTACCCCCTGAGCTCAGCCAGCACCGGCTTGCCTATCGGGCACCCGTGCTGGTGTGGCTCATTTCTGTTCAACCACATAATGTCTGAATTTCTTTACGATCGTGAACAGCTTATTTCCTTGCCCATGTTTATACCGACCTCGGATATATACACACAACGCAATGTTGTAATATAGACAGCCATCTATTAGTGAATTACAGGACTTTGCAGCATACTATTACCCTCTATAGTCAGCTAGTGATAAGGAAACTGTAATCAAGTTCATTAATATGACACCAAAGTTATCATTACCACATACAAAAATGAAAATCACCAAACAAACCCAACCCGTAAATACATATTTAAACCTCCCCATCCTTCAACTTCTCCTCACTTCCAGAACCACCACCATCCACAACCTTCAACCTAGCCGCCACATCGCCCGTAAACCTCCCATCCACCCCCTCGGCAAAACACGCCGCGATCACCGACAATCCGCCAAACGCAATACTCGCCAAAAACACCGTGCGAAACGACTGCGAATACGCCGTCTTCACCGCCTCTGTCACAGCCCCCAGAATACCATTCGTCATGCCGGGAACAGCCTCATAGGCTGCCGTCGTCCCCGCCGACACCGCCTCCAGCAGATCCGTCAGCGAGGATGAAGGCAGTCCTGCGTTTAATGCGGCAGCAGATACATCGCGCGGCAAGTCCACCGTGACGCGGTTGTCCAGGATGGCGACGTAGATGGCGGTGGCGATGGTGCCGGCGACTTGCTTTGCAGAGCCGAGGAAGCCGCTGGCTAGCCCGATGTCCTGGGGTGAGCAATACAGGGGGCACATGATTATGGTTATCAGTTCGAGGTAGCCGACGAAGAAGCCGCCGAGGGCGGTGAACTGTTTATTTCATCGTCAGTTTAGGTGGTTGACAAGTGGGAGGGTTTTAGGGGGAAGGAGTGCAGGGGAAGTGAAGGCCGTACCGCGATGCCGTATGCCTGGCGGTATTGGTTAATGGATGCTAGGGCCCCGGAGAATGCGGTGATCATGAGAGTGGTGATGATCAGTTGGTATTTCGTGTATCCCACGGGTTTCATCAGGATGCCGGCGGCGACTTCGCCGACGATGACGCCGGCGCCGGTGGAGATCTATGTGTGGGATGTGATTAGGGATGATGATTTGTTGGTGGTGGGGAAGGGTATACTCACTGAGAGCCAGCCCGTTTTGATGGTGTTTGTGGTGTAGAGGTCGGCGATGGCGGTTGGCCAGAGGAGACTGTAATGGTTTGTTGTTAGAGTGACATCAAGGAGATTGGGGGGTATAAGCATACCTCATGGAGAAGTAGACCATGTTTCCTACTAGGGCCGAGCACACCGCACCGGCGTATCCGCGGTTTCGGAGTAAGGACATGGGCAGGAGAGGCTGCTGCAAGGGGACGAATATTTCTGTTGGTTGGGGAGCAAGTGAGTCAGTTTACTAAGTAGTCTGGAGTGCATTGCTGGTTCACGTACCATATAGGGCAAAAGCGAGCAAGCAGACGAATCCAATGACCAGAACAGCGATGACATGGGCTGAGTGCCATGCATACGATGAGCCGCCCCATGCTGATGGGATTGAATTAGCACCATGGAAAAACCGAGTAAGAGCTGGAACGGGAGACTCACAGAGACCCAGCAGGACCAGGATCAGTCCGCCGGCGTACAGGAGAAAGCCAATGTAGTCGAATTTCTTGAGACCATCGATGCGGCTCTCATTTCCGCGCTTGGCATCCCAGCCTGGAGGGAAGTAAAACAGCACCAGCAAAATGATAGAAAGACCGCAGGTGATGATGTTCAGGTAGTAAGTCCAGCGCCAGGAGCGGGCGGTGTTGGCGATGAACAGATCTGCAATCAGAGAACCGAACGCTGAGAAGGGCAGCGTTGTGATGAAGATGCCAGCATTGACGACCGGACGAGCACGGTTGGGGACCAGCTCGGCGATCACGAAGCTGAAAGTCAATTGCACTGCAGCAGCCAGACCGCAGAGGACACTGCCTCCGATAACGGTGGGAACGGTTTTGGCTGTTGCACAGACTATGGCGCCGATAAGGCCAAGTAGTTGCCCTCCAATCAGGATGTATCGGCGGCCAAAGAGGTCTCCTAAGCGGCCTACCAAGAGAAGACCGACCTAGAGCGGGTTTAGCAAGTCTATATATACATGGAAGATGCATGGTTTGCCAGAGAGAGGGTGCTCATACTCCGGAGATCAGTGTGAAAACGGTCGAGATCAAGCTGTAGCTGGGGTCTGGCCCTGCAAGTAGAAAGACAGTCAGCAACTGCTGGACAATACGTCCCAGGTAGTCCGAGGTAGAGGGAAGATAAACTTACCCAGGTCAGCATTGATGGCGCTCAAGCTATTTACCTGTTGAATAATCAGCAAAAAGCTTGCCGGAGGAAACAAATAGAAAGACCGACCGGTAAGACATAGCCCAGGTAGAGACTGATGGCCATCAAACACACGGCAATAAGAGAGCCAACAAAGTTCTTACTGCAGTAGTATCCGGCCGGCAGTTCATCCAAGTCGACAGGGGTGGCCGTTAGCTCCCGGGCATTCTTCTCGTCCGTCATCCTGCCCTAGAAAATTTACTGGCGGAGTGGATATGTGAAGAGAATGAGGGAAGGAAGGAGACAGGGGGATAGAATTAAAAGAAAAGCCGGTTAAAACGTGGGAAGAAAAATGGCCGATAAAGCAGCAGCAGCAGAATGAAGCCATGACGAATCGGAATGAAGACGACTGATCTGGGCCCAGTCTTAGACATCAAACCATCTGCGAACGGCCGACTCGAGAGGGGTGAAATTAGGGCACTTCTTGATCCCTGCCTAGTGCCTTCGTGGAGCCCGACGGTGTCACGGCGCCATATTAGTTGGACAACTAGCATTTCTGTTCCTAAGAGCGGGTGGAGCACACAAATTGTTCCTTGCCCATATGGCCAGGGTCAATCATGTTAAGATCGTGTCCAGATGCCGTATCATCTAACGTCCATGGATCGTGGTCTCTCCCCCCTCAGCCAACCGAAACCTCGAGACGGGTCGCTCGGAGAAGTCCCATTTCTGCATCCTGCATCCTGAATCCTGCATCCTGCGCCTAGTACTATCCATGCATCTGGAATAATGTTTCGAAATACCCGCGCGAATGTAGACTCCGAGACTTTGCTCGGACTGCGATTTCTCTCGCCCTTCTTTCGTTCTTGCCAGGCCAGATAGACAAATACCCTTCCATGGAAGTTGTGTGGAAGGACGTGTCGTCGACCGGAGGGTCGGTCGACTTGCAGGCATCCCGAGTGTCATCAATTATTGCCTGCAATACTGTTCTTCTCGTGATTGCGACCGGTGGGCTTTTAGTCCGTCTGTTCGTCCGACTTCGATATCTCTCAGGCATAAACTTTGATGATTTGTTATGTGTAGTCAGCTGGGTACGCTTCCTGGCCCGTTGAATTTGCTCATGTCCTCCCAGAAACTGATGCTTCGTTGCCCAAGATCTTCACATTTGTTCTGTGCTTTGTGTGTATCTGGAGTAAGCTGCCATGAATCAAATGTATACACCCGATGAATGAACTTGACGAGTCTCATTCCCACAGTGACCCGATATGGCTACGGAAAGCACATTGCTACAATACAGAGCTCGGAGAAGCTGGAGATGTTTCTCAAGGTTTGGGATACACTAATAAATGAGTCTGTCTATATGCTCACTCAATTCCAATGATTTACAGCTCGACTTTGTCAGCATGATTGCGTATCTTCTCGCCCTCGGCACCGTCAAGGTTTCCTTCTGCCTCTTATACCTGCAGATCTTCCCTGGAAAGGGGTTTCGCATCGCTTGCTGGACTCTCCTGGGCCTACTTGTCGCCGAAACCATCGAAGAAACATTCGTCGTGATCTTCCAATGCTCACCGATTCACAAGGCATGGGATGCCAGTGGCAACGTCAAAGGCCAGTGTCTGTCTCTTACGGCCTTCTACTACATCTCCTTCGGGATCCGCTTGGCTACTGATCTGGCGCTCTTCGCTCTCCCTCTTCCGAAAGTGATGCGATTAAATATGACGCTAGGCAAACGAGCCGGACTAGTGATGATGTTTGGATTGGGTGTTCTGTACGCTGGTTCCCTCTTAGCTGAAATTCACCTGAGAGCCACGAATAACCGCGAGTTCTAGGGTCTCCATCACGAGTATAATTCGAGCGACGTATATAAGCAACTTCTCTGACGACCACACCTGTATGTTGCCTCTCCCTTTGTGCCCTTATGTGTGCTGCGACTAATAGATCACCTACTACTTGAACAGGGACACTCGTCAACACTCTCAATTGGTCCAGTGTCGAAGTGGCTGTGGCCATCTTCATCGCCTGCATCCCTTCTTTCAAATCGCTCATTAGCTTCCGATTCCCTGCTTTACAACGGCTACTGGGGCTTTCCAGCAAGGGAGACTCGACCGGTCGGTCGAAGATATATGGAACATCGACGCGTCGGACCAATAACGGGCGATCCCTCATGGGTCACCAGAGTATCAAGCTGAATACTGTGACGGGGCAGAGCCGGGCCGATGTTGAGGCTAGTCGCAATGGCTCGGAGGAGCGTATCATCGGGGCTCATGAAGGCATTCACGTTACCACCGATGTGAGTGTTAATGAAAGTGATTGATGTGTGGTATAGCTCGATCGTCTCTTCACAAAATTCTTATATAGTCTATAATCTTGTAATCTATGATTCTCAGGTTCATCCCTATTTGCAATGGGCGGATCGATGTTGTGTGTGCAGACCATTTGCTAAGTTAACACAAACACATACCCCCATCGATCGATTAATCTAGCTGCAATGGTACCATGCGTGATAGCGACCAAGGGTTAAAGTCGAGATGCTATCGGATCTAGCGCCGAAGTCAAGCCTTTAGGGCATGGGAGGTGGACCCGTTCGGAAAAGTTATTTATCATCCGAGAAGGATCCACGGACGACTTCCGGGGGGCGCTGCTCTTTTGGAGAATCGATGGGAACCCTGGAGCGAGACGAAAATGAAGGGTTGGTACCAAAAGAATTGGGCAGACTAGCCAGTTTCATGAAATTAGATAAAATTGACATTCAAGTGGTGCTTTACTATGCTCTCTCGTTTGTGAGTTCTGAGCTCGACGGGCTGTCTTCCAGTCATACGCGGGACGAGCAATTTCAAGCTTAATATCGAGGAGGCCCACTTAGCGTGGTGGAATCCAACTCTCATTATCTCCGAGCCCAATGAAACCTCCATAATCAAGCCTCCTTTACTTGCTAAGGCAAGATACCTGCTGTCGGTGTTTCTCCCCGGGTTGCGTACGCGTTGGCCAAAGTGACTATTAACTAGCATGTGCGCCACTTGAGGCCACGAGCAGGTTTCCCTAGGCCTGCCATGTCTTGGTAAAGCTCCCCAGGGCGCTGTTTGCCTCCGTAGATGCTGCTTCATGGCCCTCGGAGATAGTCAGCTCGAGAATCAGGGAGAGTTTGGCTTGAATGCTAGAATCTGTCTTCCGCCAGCCACTCCCTTCCCCAACATAGATCGGAAAGCACACACGACTGGGTCCTTCACTTTCCTCGACTACGGCCGAACCGAGCATGGCGGCCTTAGAGCGAGCTTGTCTCGGCTGACCATATATCCCCGAGGAATCGGAGGAGCCAGCCGTGGGATGCCAAGCCACGAAGGGGTAGCCAATTTGATTAAAGCTATTTAGTAACTGACAAAAGCGTCTTGGCTCTTAGTCGGATAGTCCACCTATCAAACCTTCCTATCTCTGAGGCCGTAGTGGTATAATTGAATCGTCCGTCTTCTCTCCGGCTTTCCCCTTTCTGGTAGTACCGGGCAAGGCTCAATGTCCTTTGTATCAGTCGTCATCTATGCTCATCAAATCGCGCGGTAGAAAGGATTATTGATTCACCCGACCTGCTGCTTCTTTGCTCTCGCAAGATATAATCCCTGCTGGACGTGGCCGCTACTGCATCCAGATTATAACCAACCGAAAATTTCATGTTAGCAGCCGAGGGCCATAGTGCAGTCGACTAACTGCGTCCGCGAAAAGATCCTTGCTAACACGATTCGTGCCACTCTAATGCTACTAATGTCCTACTAAGCCATTGTCACTCTACTGAGCCCTTAATACGCCGCGATATATCTCCCCGGAGCGATTAGCGTGGCGGAGTCTGGCCGACATGCGGTATCGCAGCGCCACAAGTCTGATGTTTGTCCCCACCATGATGGGTTGATGCCGGTCAGCGGTTCTCCCATAGGCACAAGAGAGTCAAGCCAACAAGCAATTAACCGATTAGCCTGGACAGCAGCCCGATGTGTACAGAAATGTGCAATGGGCCAGGGTACCTGGGTAAACTGGGAGCCAGCATGGCACCCCCTGGAATCAGACCAGACCCCCTTGCCCTTAATGCATGAAGCTCTGTGCCGTCTCCCTGGTGAGCCCTTCTCAGCATAGAACCTGGGCCCCAAATCAGCCCTGCTCCCCTCATTAGATTCATCATGCAGCAGCAATCCCAAACCTCTCAAGGCCACCATGCCATCGTGTTCGGCTGTTCAGGCATCAACGGCTGGGCCCTGATCAACCAGCTACTCAACAGCTACCCAGCCCCAGGGACCTTCAGCAGAGTGACGGCGGTTGCGAACCGTGCGTTCACGGCTGAGGAGGCCCAGTGGCCAACAGACGATCGTCTCCAGATTGTCTCCGGCGTGGACCTCTTGGTGGGCGACGATGCAGCGCTGGAGAAGACCCTGGCGGAGAAGATCTCCTCTGTCGAGACGATCAGCCACGTGTACTATGCTGGTATGTAGTCCGCTTCCTTATCGCATGCATACCTTCTCTGTTAGTGCGGCTAACCGTGCGTGTTTCAATATCTGTGCAGCATATCGTGCCAGCGATGTTCCTGAGGAAGAATGTCGCCTGAACAAAGAGATGCTTCGAGCGGCGGTTCAGACGCTAGAGAATCTCTCGCCCAAACTGTCTTTCGTTACTCTTATTACTGGCACAAAGGTATGTCACCTACATATCCATATCGGAAACACATAATTTTCCACGTGCATAAAGCTAACAACACTTGTATTATCCAACAGGCATACGGCGTCTACCTCCTCGATAAATTCCCCTTCCGGAACCAAATACCCCTAAAAGAAGACCTTCCCCGCGTGCCAGCCGAATACGCCAAAGACCTCTTCTACTACCATGAAGTCGACCTGTTGCAAGAGCTCAGTACCGGAAAGTCCTGGTCATGGTGTGAAGTCCGTCCGGACGTGATAGTACGTCCTTACACCCCTTCCACCACCCCTTTACCAAACATACTAAACAACAAAAAACACAGGTCGGACTCGCCCCCTTCGGCAACGCCAACTGCATGGCCCAAACAATGGGCATCTACCTCTCCCTGTACCGCGCCCTCGAAGGCCCCAACGCCCGCGTCCCCTTCCCCGGCAACAGCACAACCTGGACCCTCCAATCCACCGACTCCAACCAAGACATAATCGCGCGCTTCTGTATCCACGCATCCCTCCAATCGCGTGTAAAAGTCCATACCCGAGCGTTCAACATCGCCGACAGCGCACGCCCCGTGGCGTGGTCCGAGCGATGGCCCATCCTGGCGTCGTATTTCGGGCTGGAAGGGGTGGGGCCTGAGGAGGGAGGATCTCTGCATCCGACGGAGTATATCGATCGGAACTGGGAGGAGTTGAGACGGTTGTGCAGCGAGAGGGAGGGGGTGAAAGAGGAGGTGATTTATCGCAGTATGCATAATACGGGGGCCAGGATGGGGAGTCTGAGACTGATGGACTTTGATCGCCCGTTTGATTTGGGGAGGGCGAGGGAGATTGGGTTCAGTGAGGAGATGGATACGAGGACGTCGTGGTTTGGGGCGTTTGAGAGGGTGAGGAGGGCGGGGATTATGTTGTGATGATGAGGCTATATGAGTTGGGATATGTGCTGTTGTTGATGATGGTGGTAGTAGTGGTTGGTAGTAGGAAAGAGAAGGCATCGGTGGGAGTTTGTTGATATCACACCATACGATTATATAGAAGACTCGAATGTAATGGTTCATGATGAATCCAATAGCCAATCATGTAATGGTGGATTGATTCTATTATAGCTCAGTCGAGCCTTCAACGATGTAGTTAGATGCCAGATATACAGAATTCCAATAACTACTATAGCCTGTAAATCTATATAAATTTCGCATCACTCACTGACTACTACCGAAAACCATAAATCTGTCTCCAACACCACATTATGATGTATATATATGTATTACTAGTAGGCAACCGAACCTACTATAAGAAAGTCTTCATACTCTGTAGAATATTCCTATCAATAGGCTTAATATTATTCAGTGGCAGTGCTATAGAGTCGGCCTGTAGAGACATAGATAGTAAGAAAATAAACCCCATGGGAATCTCGATAATCTCCATGAGCCTCTTCCTAGTACTACTGTTGGGACTTCTACTAATCTATGCACAGTCACTCTTCCTCAAACATAGTCGAGAATATATGTAGCGGCTGCAGGACTCGAGCCCATAATACTTGAGGAATTTATTATGCCTCGTCAGGACCAGTCAAGGTAATTACCACTACACCTGGTCAGTCACCAGCCAATGACGGTTAAGGTCATGAAGTAAAGGACGGGTCTATGACTGGGTCGATCATGTCGGGAGAGTGATGAAGAGAAAAACGATTGAGATAGAACAGAGCCAAAAAGGGGATATTATAAGCTGGCTCCAACTACGTCGCCTTCACAGCCCCCCGTTTGTCAACAGTCACCCACATATCGCGCCAGAATCCCACGCCTCCCTTGATCACAAAATGCGCGGAAGGCTTGCCCGCAATCGAATGAAGCTTGAATTTGCGGAAGAGCTGTTACTCGAATAGTCAGATATAAGATGAATACGAAAGAACGTGAAGGTGGAAGGGACGGGGCGAACCTGCAAAGGACCCTTAAACAGCTCCATCATAGCAATATCCTTGCCCAAACACACTCGCGTCCCGTACCCAAAAGTAAACATATACTTATTCATGACCTTTGCGCGCTCCGGATCCAGCCAGCGCTCCGGGTTGAACACATTCGCATCTGCACCAAACACTCCCTCATCGCGCTGAACAATCCACGGGTTAGACGAGATCTCCGTGCCCGCGGGCGCAAACTGGCCATATAAATCGATACCCGGCTCGGAGACGTATCGAGGGAAGATGTTCGGCGCGGCAGGGTTCATGCGCAAAGTCTCGCGGACACACGCGGCATAGTAGGGCAAGTGCTCGACGATCTCCTGGTACTGGGCCATGGGACTGATGAGACCTTTTCGGGCAGCATCATCAATCTCAGCCATCATGCGCTCGTACACCTCCGTGTGGGTCATGAGGTTGTGCACCAGTGCCTGGAAGACAGTTCCGGTGGTGTCGGCGCCAGCCAGAAGGACCAACAGAACCTCTGCGCGAATGTAGTCCATGTCGAGAGGTTTGCCCTCCTCGGTGCGGGCCTCGAGGAAGGTCTGGAGGAGATCGATCCGGCCGATGTCCTTCTTTTCTTCGAGATCGCGCAGGCGCTGGTCGATGAGTCGGTCGCGGAAGCGCATGAGGACTCCAATACCCGAGTCGTCTTGGGGAGTCGCAACTAGGTATTTCTTCATGAAAGTTGTTTTCATCCAGCTGGTGAAGGGATGGAGGCGCGCCAGGAGACCGAATGCTGGGAGTCCGTCGTGGAAGCCTTGTACTAGACCGCCGACGTCTTGTCCTTGCTCGACAAAGCCGAAGGGCGCACCGAAGCCGACCTCGCTGATAATGTCGTATGCCATGTAGCTTGGAGGATGTCAGTATAGTTTGCGGGATGAAGTGGCGAGTCTCTGGGAATGGCACTGCACTCACACTGCCCACCATGAGAAGTCGAAACCAGCGCCCGTGCTGGCGAATCTCTCGTCGATTTTCTGTAGCCAATGCTCAATGTGGGCGTCGAGCAGCGGCTCCATGCGCTTGACGCTGCTAAAGCTGTACTGTGCAGGGTATCAGTCGTGTGGATTCTGGAAAAATTCAAAGGGTCGAGTTGAACGTACTGGGCCTGCGATGTGCTTCCGGAATGCCGCATGCGTCTTGTGGGAGCGCATATTGAACAGAGACTCGGTCTCGCCGAAAGATCCGGTGATGTAGTGTCCCGTTTTGTCGGCATTGCGATGGTAAATGTCGGGGAGCTTTTTGGGGTCGCTGACGAGCAGGAGCGTGGGAGTGATGCGTACTACGGGGCCTGCAAACGATAAGTCAGACTTGATTTCTTTCGTGAACTTCTATCCGGGTAGTGCGACGGTCTAGCATACCATATTTCTTTGTGAGATCGTACACGGTCTGCAATTCAGTCTCGCGCAGATTATGCCATGCAATCCAGAGTCGGGTGACGCCGCCCCAGAATGGACCAGGAAATTTCGACGATGGATGGAAAAAGTGATAATAGACGATTTGGCGCACAAACTGAAGGACCACATAGACAACCACACCCAAGATCACATTGGTCACCGTGACCTTGGAGAGGAGGTCTTCGCCAACGCTCATTGTTGTTGATTGCGGTTGGTGAGCGAACAGATGACAACGAAAAAACACCGAAGAGAGACCCCGAGCTCTTAAAACACCGTCATCTACAGCCGCTGGAGGGGAGCTCTGGACTTAGGCCCGCCCTAGGTCCAGCACCGGCATCCGGCTCCTCTCCTACGTAGATAAATGTGGCCAGACAACGAATCAGTTAGCCTTGTAGCGGTACCACTGAAGAAGCGATGGTGCGCCATCTAACCATCTTCCGGGACTCGATCCGAGGAGAACAGCATTGAGGCTACTGCATTGGGAGGGTGGACAATATGACCGGAGTGTCGATCCAACCAGGCTGGAGCCATTGACAAGCGTCACTCGGAGACATCCCCCAGTGCCGACAGACAATGACTAGTCTAGTCTGACAGAGAACCGACAGCGTACTTAGTGGTGCGGGGACAGAGTGAAGTCTCATGAACAGGGAAAAATGCGCGGCCGAGGGTTTAGCACCTCCAACGGCTCCTAGTGTCTCTGATGGAGTGGGCTTGCCGAGTCGCAATGAGCCATTATTGGCCGTAGTTTAGCTCTCGGGGTAGCAGTTGACACTTGTCAGGCTCAAAGTCTGTCAGAGACTGCTACTGGGATCATCATGTCCCGATGTCACGACCATGGAACCACTTTTATTTTTATGAAAGGGACCATTCCTTCCGTGACCTTCGCGGAGTGCCGTTCTTGCCATATATATATCTCTTTACTATCCATCCATCCACTTATTTATCTACCGCATTATCGAGATATCGCCGGATCCCACAAACAAAGCAAATCCCCTTCTTTGTTCGCTCGACGTGTTCGACAAAGTACTTTGTGCCACCAGGAAATAAATTGTGGTCCACTGGGAGCGGCGATGTGAGAGGCCAGATCCACCCACAGACAACCCCCTAGCAGGCCCTAACGGAGACTAACTTTGACGCCGGTCTGCCGCTGGGCCGCGATCGGCACCCCGTCCATGGCTCAGAAAAAAAAAATAAAATGATTACGGCCTCTGCTAAGTTGCAGAGCGGGCGCCAAAGCAGGCCCAGAATCGTAAAAGCAAGTATGGCAGGCAAAAGTTCCAGGACTTCCAGGAGAGAAATTGCTGGCTTATTGGCGGCTTGCCCATGGGGCTTGCTAATGGTGTAATCCGTTATCCTCTCAGTCGGTTTTAGCCACAGACACTATTGACTACTTCTGCAAGTGTCGGAAGTTATTCGAGACTGAAGTTTAGGAATACCTTCAGCTGGGAATGTCTCATTGCGCTTGTTGACATATCAGTGTTGATCCTAACATCGCTATGGGGGGCGGACTTGTACACAGCCTGTAGGGGCGGCTTTGACGACTTGGAACGGAAGGAGCAGTATGGTCCTCATACCAACTTGGCACCCATCCCTCCAGTTCACATGGATTTCAACGCAAATTTTCACCGTTGAATCGACAGAAATCGGTGGCTGCGACCACTGGATCGGGAGCACGGCCGATAGCCCGAGGTCCGTCCCCGAAACCATCCACTAAATTATTCCCCTTTCATTCCATTCGCTTTTCGAACACCAGCATGAGTCAATGAACCAGCATGAGAAGGAACTGCATTCACAAACCCCACGCTTGGTTAACTGGTGCATAAGCAGGCTGCCTCGAAGAGCCAAAAACGCATTAAGGGGTGGTTTCCATCTTTTGGATCTATTGACTGAACTACGGTGAATATTCGGTAGTACATGCTCCGCGTGTCAGGGCGACCAATAAAGAATTGCCCTACCCATCCCAGAACGTCTACCAAGCCACCAGGATTCGATCCTGCGCCCATCGTATTCGCAGGCATTTCGAAGACCAAAGGTCGACCAGTGTAGACCACCTTTTTGACCAGAGGACTCGCTGTCCAGAATTGTCTGGACGGGGCCATCCCCAGTGGAGTGGGTCAGTACTTGCGCTCAGGGCGACTACTAGTCGAGGCCCTAACCCGGTTGGAGGAAAGCCGGCAGCGATTCTCCTGCCTTTCAGACACCGGTCGTTTACGGTGCGAATAGTACTGGAACTTCCTTCCATTTTGCCCAGTCCTCCCGTGTCTTGCAGACAGCCATTAGCCTGCCATAGCGGTGCGTGTGGTAGCCTGACTTGGCGGGCTGCCATCGTGCATCTGGGTATGATGTTGTCGCAACCACTATCTAGATACGTGAGCACCGAATATCATAATACAAACGTGGTGGCAACCTAGGCAGCAAAGATACAGATCATACTCAGAAAACCTGTTCTACTTCCTACGAGCATCGGAATCACCCCCGGAGATATGACCCATCTTCAATGACGATCGTGTCCCGGCTGCTATTCTTGTCGCCGAAGGCCACTCATTTGACAACGACTAACACCCTTTAGTGCAGTGTACTGCTTCTCAGTGGCACCCGCCGATTAGCCGTGGAGCGATAGGTTCAACGACACATTTTCTGTATCAGATTCGACAAGCGGAGTCGGCCAGTGCATCCGGACGCGATACCCACCACTTCAAGACCCCAAGATGTGGGCTACGAACCGTCACTGGAGTCCCCGATTCTTGGTCGCTACTCGCGCGATAGCTTGCTTTTTCCATCCGTTCTTCCAGAGTCGCTAGTCAACTCTTGGTACCGTCTGAAAATTTCCCTCACGGTTTCCCCTTTTTGGAAACGCCACTGTCCATCAGACTCCAGTTTCTCCAACATGCGAGCTTGACCCGGACCGCCTGGGATCGTCCAAGAATGAGTCCCGGAGCCCTGCCAGGGGCATTTGATGCAGCGATGATCGCGATGGCGCACATGCGCCAGATTGCCTCCCGTTTAAATCGCAACTCAATCTTTGACCCCTCGGAGGTTCCCCTTCTAGAAATGACTGTCCTCTCTATGTAGGGTGTGTGCGGTGCATGAGGACTGCATCTGATGTGTTGCACTCGATAAATAGGCCTTGGACTTTCCCGATTTACTACCCAGCATTGTGCGTCTTGCCCTCATCTGTCCGCCTGGACTGTCAATATGGCAACTACACAGGGCCCAGTGATTGCTGGCGTTGCGATCAGTTTTGCGGTCCTGAGTTTTGTGACCATTTGCCTCCGGCTGTTTGCTCGAATCTATGTCTTGAAGCGAATGGGCTTGGATGACTGTAAGTCAATAATGTCCTGCCCCCCTTGGCTGCTGTCCGACCTGTGACTTACCTACTATTTCTCCTAGACTTGATTATTGGCGCCTGCGTAAGGGAATCGTTTCCGGATTGATGCAATTGAGCTGACCTCTCACCCAGCTTCTATCATGGGCGTTCACAGCAGTTACCATTGTTGGTAAGACGATTCCTCCTGTCAGCGTCTGAAGGCAGAGACTGACCCTATACAGCTGTCAAGCATGGCATGGGCCAGCACATGGCGGATGTGGATCAGAGTGGTCTAATAACATACTCTTTTGTACGTCACTTCAACCTCTTGAGCAGGATAACGTTGCTGATGATCATGATCAGGCCGTTTGGCTGAGTTCAATGTTCTACTTGGCCGCCCTGGGCTTCGTCAAAACCTCCGTCTGCTGGTTCTACACCCGACTTGGCGACAAGCAACTCACGCGCATGTCTCTCGTCATGTTGTGTGTGGTGGGTTGTCAGGCCACTTCCTTCGTCCTGACAGCTGCGTTTCAATGCAATCCCATCCCCCGCGCCTGGAATACTAGCATCCCCGGCCACTGCGTGACGATCAACGTCTTCTACCTCGCCAACGCGGCGCTGAACATTACTACCGATCTGATTACCTACTCACTTCCGATCCGTGTCATCCTAAAACTACACATGCCAAGGAAACAGAAGTTGGCCCTTGGTGGTATCCTCTGTCTTGGTCTATTGTAAGTAGTACAATACCTGCTGTCATTCACCGATGTCTTGTCTAACGGTTACCTCCAGCGCCTGCATATCCTCCATCATCCGAATCACCTATATCCCCGCGATGCTCACCTCCAGCGACTCCACCTACGCCATCAGCGGCGCCATGTACTGGTCCGCCATCGAGATCAACGTAGGCATCTTGGCCTCCTCCATCCCCTCCTTCAAAGCCATCGCCTCTCGCTTCCTCCCCCGCTTGATCGGCGAGTACAGCTCGAACCGCGGCTATGGCGGATGGTCGAGCAGCAACATGAGAAAAGAGGAATCGGGCTTCTCCAAGGGTCGCGAGCATCCATTCGATATGAGTATCCTGCAGACCCAAGATGGGGATGCCATGACGGGCACGCAGATCGGGAGAAACAACAGCCAGGAACGGATTATCGTCCCGGATGGGAAAATATACGCTCATACGGAGATCGAGACGAATGTCGAAGTCAGTAATGAGTATTATACGCGGGGGATGCAGTCTTTTGATATTCCTCGGTCTGTTGGGACGCATAGTTCTTGATCTTGTCTTGGTCCACTATACCCTTCCCTACGTTCTTCCATTATTTCATCCTCCGTTGATACTATTTTCTTGTGTATATTCATATACCCTTCTTTTTTTCCCTTCGCTCACTTTCATTCCTTTTCTCAGAAGGAAACTTCTATACTTCTACATTACCCTTGTATACTTCCACTATTTCCTTAACGGCCCTTCTCCAAATATCATACAGGAATACCACTAGCACGACCCTGGCAACAACCCTTAACGAAATCACCACCAAATTTAAGATAGATAAAGCAAGTAAACCAGTAACCCAAAAAAAACCCCCGTGATCGCCAGAGCGAGGATAATTCTACTGGTAGACACTAAGAAACCTAAACCTAAACCCCCGCCCGCCTTTATAGTCTATCTATCATATGCCCGTCACAGACAGTAGCAAACAAAGAACGAACCACAACAAAATTGGATGATAGTCTGTGACACATGATCTACTTGGCAGGGATGGCGATTTGTCATTCAAACACAGAATAACCGTAGTTGTTTGTTAGTACTCCGTAGAAAAATCAAGTGGATCCATAGTGGGCAGCAGGAAGGTGATAGTACGTATCATCTACTAAGATGGACCTATGGAATTACAAAGACACGTGCGTTGATCAGAGTTCATAGAGTAAAAAGTACAGCAAGTGAGCATCCATATTTTGGCCTTGCCCGGTTTACTCATTAGCCAGCAGAGCTGCGCAATACCTTTGCATGCAGTGAGACAGTTTGTTTGGAATCTCTGCGATTCCGGAATAAGGGGCTGTGCGGGCTGCAATTGTCAGATTGGGAGATCTGGTCTACTGCACATTTTACATAGTAGATAGGTTTGGCGGGGCACCGCCGGGCAACACTATTACCATCAATGAATTCATGTTTACTTTTATGCTGTTAGAAACTGAGTATGCTTTTACGGAGTACTCCGTTAGTGTGCAGCATCGCTGCAGTGTGTTGCTGCGCATCAGCAATAAGTCTATTTCTCTTGTTCTTACTCTCGGGCGCTTTTCGGAAATACGAACACTTCGCCACCAGTTCGTCCAGGATTGCTTTTCTTTTCTTTCCTTTTTATTTGTTTCTTTTTTCTTTTTTTCGGAAGGCAATATGCACGGTACTTTCTAAAGCTGAGAAATGTGGAACGTGAGCGATCTCGGACCTGATTGCTTATTCTTTAGAAAATAATTTTTTCTTTTCTTAGGGCTCGGAGGAACTGAAACTGTGATGGTGCTTTCTTTTCTTCTTCTCTTAAGTACAGTGAGTCGACAATCTAATTCTTGCCTACTTTTTGAGGTCAGTTCCGCTTGATTACGGGACCGCCGGGCAACTTACAGGACCCGCAATATGGGGACGCAGTAGTGGTTGCCTGCAACTTCGATGCTCTGTGCGCTGGGCTCTGCTTGACCGGGCTGGGGTGACTGACTAAATACTAGAGTTATTTCTTTTGGTTGCTGGCTGGCTGGACGGGTTGATTTATTTTGGGTTTCTGTCTTGATTTCTGATGTGTGAAATGGATGTTAGAGTGAGATTATTATGCCACTCAAGCTATTTCCATTGACTTGGTATCTGTATGGTTAGGCGGAGTGCTCTGCCCCCATTAAGCTTATTTCCATGTTTGTTATGGGATTTGATAGATAGTTGCATTGAATCTGGTGACATAGGTGTAGTTTGAATTGTTGATGGTGATATCTATGGGCGCAGACCGTATAGCTCTGAATCACTGGTGATGTAAGTTCACTTTGAGGAATCTCTGGAAACAAGAATGAACGAAGACTAATCAGCTGTACCCCTGGAAGCAATGTACCTATGCCTTGGAATCAGATCATAAGAACCGGGTTATTCAAGATTTCCGCAAAAAGTTAACATTGATAGAGGCAATATGGTTAGATCTATACATAATGACCGTTTCGCGCGTGATTTTGTCGGTCGACATCCGTCTCTACACCGAATATACTTCAGTCTTGATGATACAGCTCTCGAACCATGGCCCCTCCTTCAGAAAAGACCAAGGCTCAATTCAGATCACCGGGATCGAACATATAACTCGGCATAATCAGGACCCTTACAAGGTAAAAATCGAAAACTTCATCGGCTATACGCACGTTCCGGTCGGATTAGCTGGGCCGCTACATATCCGGACGCCCACAGGGCCCGACAAGGAGATCTGGGCGCCCATGGCCACCACTGAGGCGGCGGTAGTCGCCAGCTGCTGTCGTGGATGCAAAGCTGCCAATGCCTCTGGTGGGATTGAGGTCCACATGGGAGCGGAAGGCATGACGCGCTGCCCGGTCTTTCAGTTTCAGAATCCCAGATATGCTTTACGATTTTCACGCGTACTGCCTACCCTCCAGGCATCGTTCAAAGAGGTGGCAGAAAGCACCAGCAAGCATGCTCGCCTACAGAGCCTAACGCCGCACACGATCGGGCGCTCTGTCCATCTCCTTCTCAACTACACCTGCGGTGATGCGTCGGGCCAGAACATGGTGACCATAGCTACAGACCGGATCTGTGCCTGGGTATCAAAGAACCTAGAAAAGGAATATAAGATTGTGGATACGTTTGTAGAAGGCATGCTATCCTCGGACAAGAAGCCATCGTGGAGGAATGTGACCGTCGTTCGGGGTGTCGAGACCGTGGCCTGGACAGCTCTATCTGAATCGGCATGTCAGCGAATTCTGGGCTGCTCATCCGCAAAACTGTATGACTTCATACAGATCACCCAAGAGGCGGCGATTCGGAATGGCGAACATGGCAGTAATATGGACTCTGCCAATATATTGGCAGCAATTTTCATTGCTACGGGCCAGGATGCGGCGTGTGTCGCTGATGCTTCGTGGGCACACCTGACGCCAGAATACGATCAAGTGTCCAAGACACTAACGTTGAGCCTTTATTTCCCCTCTATGCCTGTAGGGGTAATTGGCGGGGGCACGTCATACGCGACACAACAGGAAGGCTTGCGCATCATGCAGTGCAGTGAGCCCGGCGGTAAGCGACGACTGGCCGGGTACATTGCTGCGTTTGCTCTGGCGCTGGAGATCAGTACGGCTTCTGCGGTGGTGACGAAGACTTTTGCTCGCAGCCATGAGCAGTTAGCACGTTGGGAGGCTAGTGAGAGGCCAAGATCTAAGATCTGAGACACGTCACTTAGCCAAAGACGATGAAGAGATGATGGAGGTACAGCAGTGTCAGTCCAGTATAGATGGGGCCGGAGCAGACAGTAGACATAAAGTAGACAGAAGGTACTACCCAGATGAGTCAATGTTACTCCAGGTGCGCCTGTATCTGTACAACGTCATTATTGAGAGACCGAGATTGATGATTTGCAGCAGAGAGAGATGTATTCCATGCAACTGTGGAGTAGTACATGGCGTAGTATAACTTCACTTGGTCGTCTTTGACCGTCTTTGTTTTCCACCCTGTTAATCATGTGATGGCCGTTGTGTCGCCCGGGTGCTGACTCAGACACCAGCCAATCAGACAGCGCAGAAAGAGCACGGAGCGAAGAGTGACGATCGACGGACCCAGTAAAAAGAAGGGAATCGACATCACTGACTGACTGCATCCGCTGGTCCTCCCAAAGTACTTACGTCTCCCTCTCAAAGCATCGGCTTCCTCTTTTGTATCCTCCTCTCCTCCTCGCCCCCCTCCTCCTGGTTCTCCCTTCAAATTTCCTTTGTTCCATCTGGCAATACCTCGACGGTCTACACGGCCGGACAATGCTTCTAACATTCTCCAGTCCCTGTTCCAACTGACCCCATCCTCTCCCAACCAGAAATTCGCCTCCGCCCCCCGTTTCCAATGGCAGATCTCTCCACATCCCCCGGTCGGGATCCCGACTCCGACTCGAGAGAAGCAAACAACGTCCTGTCCCAGCATCTACATCCTCAGTTCACTGCCTCCCTTCAGGATGAGCTAACTGCACCCCCGGCCGAGCCCCCAGCTGAGCAAAGTAGCGGTGATGCTCCCTCCGAACCCCAGTCCTCACTGAGACTGCAAGGCGGCGATATCCATCGAGACTTGTACCGTATCGACGCCAAATCAAAGATAGCTCGCCTGGACAAACGGGCAGCGACTTTCTCTTTCCTTCCGAGACGCACAGATGATGTAGTCGAAGAAGGCGTGGCCGCCATGGAGCCGGGGAGCTTCCGCCGTCACTTCGTTCAGAACAAGTACGGTCGGCTCGACCAGCCGGGCGTGACCTCGTCCTTTCTCGATTTCCTTGATATTTATGGCAACTTTGCGGGTGAGGATTTGGCGGACACAGAGGAGGAATCCGCCATCGTCGAAGAAGAAGAGGAAGAAGAGGAAGAGACGAGACCGTCCGAACGCACTGCTCTCTTGCGGCGACGGCGGAGCTCACGAGCCAGCCGCCCAGGCGATGCTTCCAACGTCAAGACCTTCTTTACCCTCCTGAAGGCATTTGTGGGGACGGGCATTATTTTCTTACCCAAGGCCTTCCGCAACGGCGGGATCCTGTTCTCCTCCATCACCCTTGTAACAGTGTCGTTGATCAGTACCTTGTGTTTCCACCTGTTGCTGGAATGTCGGAGACACTATGGCGGTGGCTATGGCGAAATTGGCGAGCGGATCGGTGGTCCTCGACTTCGGACGTTGATTCTCGCATCCATTGTAATCTCTCAACTGGGCTTCGTGTGTGCTTGCATCATCTTCACCGCAGAGAACGTCCACGCCGTCCTGGAAGCTGTGACAACAGACCTGGGCACGGCCTTGTCGACCGGTAAATTGATCGCCGTACAACTGCTGGTGCTCATCCCACTGTCATTGATCCGAAACATCTCCAAGCTGGGACCCATCGCGTTGCTGGCGGATGTCTTCATCCTCGTAGGCTTGGCGTACATCTACTTCTATGACATTGCCAGTCTCGCGTCCCGTGGTCTGGCCTCGTCGGTCGAACTTTTCAATCGCCAGTCATTCACACTGACCATCGGCTCGTGTATATTTACCTTTGAGGGCATCGGGTTGATCCTGCCCATCCAGTCGTCCATGAAGCGGCCAGAACATTTCGACAAACTTCTCTATACTGTCATGATCATCATCACCGTATTGTTCACGGCGGTTGGCGCGCTCTCGTATGCCACCTTCGGCGCCGAGACCAAAACGGAGATCATCAGCAACCTGCCCCGCACGGACCGCTTTGTCAATGTGCTCCAGTTCGTCTATTCGCTCGCCATCCTGGTCAGTTCGCCGATCCAGCTGTTCCCCGCTGTCCGTATCCTTGAGGGCAGGCTCTTCGGCCAGAACTCAGGCAAGCGCGACCCCATGATCAAGTGGAAGAAGAATGTGTTCCGGACCGGTGCCGTGATGACCTGCGGCCTGATCGGAGCTGTGGGGGCCGGGGATCTCGATAAATTCGTGTCGTTGATCGGGTCTTTTGCATGTGTGCCCCTGGTGTATATCTACCCGGCGTATCTGCACTGGAAGGGCGTAGCCGAGTCCCCGTGGGTCAAACGGGGCGATATCGCGATGATGGTACTGGGTGTGGTGTTCATGGTGTACACGACAAGCGCCACAGTCTCCGTTTGGCTAGAAGGATCCGCCTAAAGCGCCCAAACTACATGAGCATGCGTAGGGATACGGCGTCTTGGTTTCGCATCTCGCATTTGTTGGAGAAAGAAAAGATGGGCCCGGTGTCCTGGCTCAGGTTTGTCAGTCATTCAGCACACGATCACTATACTCCGGCCTGTTGACTGCCACTAACCAGCATAACACAGCCAGATTTTTATTCTTGTTTTGCTCTCAGCCGGCCACCATGGAGCTAACGGTTTGATTCATACAGCGGTAGTGAAGTTCAGCATTTCGCATGTGCAGCAGATCCAAAATCGTAAACCCCATTCTGGAGTTATGGGGAAATGTTTCCAGTTGTACGCTGTTTTTGCTATTGACACAAGAGGGAGGATCTGTCTCTCCTGTCGTGACGAGGAAATGAGTGAAATGAAATGAAATTGATATGAATTGAAAAAGAAATATCTACCATATGACGGTTACCCCACTTGTTCTGTTTTCCGTAGCGCCAGCTAGCTACCTGGTACTAGTTGCATCTGACACCCTTCGTACACCGCGACTATCGGTCTATTTTGGGTCGGGGTTCGGTAGCTCGGGTTAACCTTCGGATATTGTGAAACGCACCAGTTGTGACTCGAGTAGCATGATGCTGGGTGTGCACTGCGGCCTCGGGGGGACTTATTGTATCTGATTGTCGTAGACTTGGCCATGTCTGACACATCTACAAAGAATGTACTTCCCCTTATACACCTACAAATTATTGTTTATGTAATAGTATATACAATGGATAATGAACCCTCCATTTAAATGAAACCAACTAGGTGGTTTTACTATCCTAATCCGCTGGTCCACAGCATCCCAGGAAAGCAAGAAATCAAAATAGAGAGAGATAGATACTATACAATTCAGTATTTCCAACCCCTTCACCTACTGCGCAACCCACACAACCCAGGATTTAAGGGCATCCCGAAGAGGGGTAGTTGCAGCTATCATCGCTACCACCGGTGATGTCGACATCAGTGAAGACAAAGTTAGAGCAGCTGCCATCACCACAGAGGATGTAGTAATCCTTGCCGTCGCTCATGGTACCCTTGACATTGACGAAAGAGATGTTCTCGATCTTGACGCCGTTGGTCGGATCACCGGTAGCACCACCGTTCTCGTAGTCCTGCTGGATGTCGATGCCGTAGTCGCTGATGCCGGACAGAGTGATGTTTTCGTACTTGACGTTGTAAACCTGTATTTGCTCGGTGGTTAGAATAATAAGATGCTGATGGTTAAGATAGGACGGACTAACCTCGCCAGTGGTATCAGCATTGGACTTGATGCGGCAGCCGTTCTCGCTGTTAATGACCTGGGAGTTGGAGAAGGTGACGCCGTCGACGGTGTTGTTGCTCTTGCCGCCGATGGAGCCGATGGAGAGACCGTGGCCACCGTAGCAGTAGAGGTTGTCGACGACGATCGAGCTACCGCTGGTAACGGCAACACAGTCGTCCTGGTTGTGCACCCAGGTGTTGGAGAGGGTCAGGAAGTCGCTCTGCTTGATGTCGAAGCCGTCGGTGTTGTGGGCGGCCGGGTCGCCGTCACTCTTGCTGTTGGCGGCGTCACCGGCGGTGTTGTTGAGGATCAGGCCGGAGATGGTCAGGTACTCGGTGTCCTCGATCTCGAAGCAGTGGACGGGCCAGTTCAGGATGTTGAGGTTCTCGATCTTGGAGTTGTACATGTCCTTGACGACAATGAAGTGGTCGGGCCTGGTAGAAGCTATGAGTAGGGTTCTTCATGAAAGAGCTGTGGTGGTAGGCTCGTACTTGTCCTGTCCGCCGTTGGATCCCTCGCCGTCCCAGTAGGCTTCACCGTTACCGTTGATGACATGTCCCTCCTCACCGGTGATGGTCACGTCGGTACCGGAGATGACAATGGGGTCGAAGTCGCTGTCGTAGGTGTCACCGAAGGTCTGTCGGAGTCTCCGTTAGTATAGCGGTTGGCCCTAATATAGGAAGGATATGACTTACGGTTTCACCAGCAAAGATGACAGCCGCACCGGTCTGCAGACCCGTGAGATCGATGGTGCTCGATGCAGGGGCGTTGATGTTGGACAGGAGGATGTTGGAGCAGGATGCGACGGCAGAGGAGATCGAAGCGTACTCAGTCACTGTGCAGGTAGTGCCTCCGTTGCCTGCCACGGAGCTCTGCGCCGGGAGGACAGCCTGGGAGGTCACAGCCGCCGCTGCCGAGGTGGACAGGGGCACACGAACGGCAGTGGTGTGGAAAGTGGTCGGGATCGCCGAGGTGCGAGTGGCTGCAACAGCAGGTGCCTTGCCCTAGACTGAATCAGTAATCAAAGCGTGATGATGCATCTGGTTGGTAAACTCACTACCTTGCTGCTGCTGGAGACTGCCGGGGCAGCCGGGGTGGAAGCAGGAGCAGATCCATCGGCGGTGCCCAGGCAGCTGCAGGCACTGGAGAGGTGCTTGGTCTTGTAGTCACAGTTGGAGAGGAAGACATCCGGCACGCCAGTCGTGGCAGTCACGGTGCTCGCCGTGAAGGTGGCGCAGAAGCTAGCGGCGGCCGCAGAGGAGACGGAAAAGGCAGAGGCACAGGAGTGAGTCTCAGCGCTGTCGCACCCCAGGGCGAGAGGAAGGAAAGAGGCAAGGAGCGCGCTGCGCTTCATCATGATGAAAAGAATGAAAGACTAAAGAGTGTGAAGTTACTAGGGAAACGAAGTGAAAAGGAAGGACAATGAGGGCGTTGAATTCCAGATTTCAACCATGGACAGCCGTCGACAACCCAGCATTCTTATATGAAAGATTGATAGCATCGGATCAGTAGAGCCGAGAACCACAGTACCGTTGGTCTAGCCGGAAGTCAAGATTCAATAAGCTAAGCTCAGCCACCTCCTCCGGAGCTTAGCATGGATGCATCGTGAACCGACCCATCTTCTGCTTGAGTGGAGACGACTTTGGTTAGAACGTTCGGTCGGCCCCGCATAGCGTCCAGCAGGGGGTCCTGACTTGCTGGTTGATTGGCACCGTCGGCAGTCAGCGTTCCAGAGCCGAGCTCGAGACGGGGAGTCGCTAACTCGCTATACTATTGTTTTGATGAAGGGTTTTCCGTTGCCCCTGGAGCGTGTTTCACGATTGCCGCCATCACTTATCTGAGACCCGGACACGTCATGGCGCGAGTCATGACCATCCAGACACCATGAGGACCGATCCGAATTAACCATCCACCACCGTGAATAAAGCCCGATGCCTGCATAATTGACGACGTCGGCTAATTCGGGGCTCTCGGTCATTTGACACTGACTGCAGGTTTAATCTTGTCTTCCAACGCTGATTCGATGAACTACGCGACTCCCCTGAACTAGAGAATCCGTGCCTGGCTGGTCTGTCGTACATCCTCAATGCGAGACCCTTGGATGGCCGGGATTTATCACAGCTCACTTCATCAGCATCTGGGGTGGGTCTTCGGCGTTAACATGATGTTCAAATTAAGCACCCCAGACCCAGTTAGGGAAGGGTCACCGAGTAATCCAGGAACCATCCCCAGCACCACCGTTGACCTCCCCCTGTGGATTAGTAGTGGCACAGTATATTCAAGATGAATCTGGACCATCATCTGGATCATGAGGTTTTCAGGATCTGTGCGCGGACCCCTTTTTATCCGCCCATTTCCAGGGGTCAACAGCCAGAAATCCTCCGGGATCCCATTGACCATTCGATATTCTACAACGCCTTGTGAAATGAGTCAGCAACGTATAGGTGATCATTGTTCTCCTGTGTGCTTACATGCAGTTAACATCTGCAATACCTCCAGGCCTTTCATCCGCGGTCCCCAATATAATATTCTGTTAGTCCCGGCACGCAGGAGGGTCCAAGGGAAGGTAGTGGGCCAGACGACAAAACAAGGTCAGCAGCGGAAAATCGTAGCCGCTCTGTATCAGAAAGATGGGATCGACTGAAAATCCATTGTAGAAGCCGTGATTAATGGGGCAGTAGTCTAGTATCAGGAAGCATGAGGCGAGTCATGGTTCCAAGTCAACCTCTGATTGCTTTCCCGCCCCGCTGCACGTGTCATATGACTACCACCATCGAATCTCCTCCCGTTTCTCGTCTCTTTTTCCCATTACGTCCTGTAGCAGTTGCCTGCGATGCTTTGCAGTTGTTGATTGTGTTTACACCTGAGACTGCCGCTGTTGCTAGATCCAGATACTGAGGATGATGATCCAAATCTCTAGAGCCTCAAGAAAATGATGCGTCTAGGAGCTGTGACTCTAAAGGCTATCGATGACTGACCACTATTACTAACCTTCGCCTTTCAGGAGGAATCGAAAAAGCGAAGCACCGCAACGCTGATACGCCACATTCAACCGTCATCATATGCTCCAATCATGCTTCTTGAAGACGATGATGCTTTGATGACAGAGCTACCTGCGACTCCCATAACCAACGCCTCCCAGGCCATGCGGTAACGTTTGGAACTGACAAGTCTCAAGGTAAATTTGCGACAACTCTGTATGGATATGAAAAGGCCGCAGCTCTCCTATATTTAAGGCCCACGGCCCGCCGTTTCCGAGAAAGCGCATTTCAACGTGCCAAATATTGCGCGGATTCGCACGTCGTCACTTTGATAAACGCCTAAAGCCTTTCATGAACGCTGAGACGCGCCCTGTTGACCTCCCAAGCGAATTCAAGAAACAGCACTTCACTGTTCGGACAGATGTAATGGTGCAAGAAACGAAAAGTCTGATCAAATATTTTGCTACACCTAAGGGTCTGTCGCAATATCCAGCTGCCTAAACAGCCCTATAGTTACCTATAGGCTATTTTGGTTGAGCACTGGGTGGGTGAGGAGGATTCCAAAGCTCAAAACCTAGTGAACCCAATAATCTAGACCCTAACAAATTACAGAGCAATCTACGACTCCAGAGATGTTTTACAATTTGCTTCGGTGCTTATATGGGCAGATGCACCTACCAATGCCCGTGAAGAATAAGGAAGATGTGCGTGCCATCTCATCGGTGGAACCTACGATGCACTGGTCCGTGCATTCGGATTCTTTGCCTGATCAGCTCGTATAGGACGGACTAAGACTATAAAAAGCAATAAGACTGCAGAAAGCGGTTAACTCCACTACACACTAAGCCGAACATGGTTCAGCGTACGAAATACGATAGGCACAGTTCCAACTATCTCAACAACGGCCATTGAAGAATTCTCTCCACGCATAGAAAGTTTCAGGAGTCGCAGTCACTTAAGAAGTGAAATGGCCCAGTTCAATCCCAATCTCCGGCTTCCTTCCCGCCATCTCTATCTTAACCGGCTACGCTGCTTGCTATCATGGCTACCGGTTGGACAGCATACGCCTACTATCCCTCCGTGGGAGGCGCCGCGGTTATGATCATGCTTTTCCTGGCCGGCGTTATTGTTTTCACGTATCAGCTTATTCGAACGCGAGCATGGCTGACCATTGCGGCCTTGATCGGCGGATTGTGTATATGCCATGCTACACCCTGCCTCAGACCACTTCAGCTAACATTGGAATTGTAGTTGAGACAGTCGGTTATATCGGTCGCGCCATGTCCGGAAACCAATCCCCCAACTGGACGCTGGGTCCCTATATCATTCAGAGCACCCTTCTCCTCATTGCCCCGGCATTGTTCGCTGCCACTATCTACATGATCCTCGGCCGGATTATCGCCCTCGTGCATGGAGAACACCACTCGATCATCCGACTAAAATGGCTGACAAAAATATTCGTGGTCGGGGATTGTTTGTCCTTCCTGATGCAGTCGTCCGGTCCGTGATCCACCTACTACCAGCCGTCAATACTACAATATGCTGATATCCACAGGCGCCGGAATCATGGTCCAATCCAAATCCGCGACCGATAATACAGGCGAGAATGTCATCATCGGTGGACTTCTAGTGCAGATCATTTTCTTCTGCTTCTTCCTTGTGGTTGCCATCATCTTCCAACGTCGCATCTACCGACACCCTACCGTGCGCTCCGAATCGCCGATGATTCCATGGCGCAAGCACTTCTTCTCGCTGTACGCGTCCAGCTTCTTGATTCTTATTCGATCCATTGTACGGTTCATCGAGTATATCCAGGGACAGGAGGGATACGTGATTACCCATGAGGCTTTCATTTATGTCTTCGATGCGGTCCCCATGTTCCTGGTGCTGTGTATTTTGATCCGGTTTCATCCGAGTGAGATAAACGGGCTGCTGGGAAAGTCGAGGGTGGCAGCAGTGGGCTACGGGCTCCGGTTTGTCGATGTGTCTCCTGCAATGTAATGTATAGAGATATGGTGCAAGGATGGGATACATCCTAAGTGTATTATAGTTTGACAGATCATAGAAATATAGACTGCTTCTATATTTTCTTTACCCCGTGCAACTAACAAATCCGATATTGAGTCAGATGGGTCGCCCATCCATTATTCAAATCCAAGCCCAGCCAAAACCATTGTATACACAAAAAGGTGCACTTTACGTCGTTCCTTACTACATATCTTTAGCTACGTATTCTCACGGTATCTAGCCAGTAATAAGCTCTATATCTAGCGCAAGTAATGCATAAACGTAGCAAAACACACTACTCAAACAGGATAAGCAACCCCCAAACCGGCAACGAATACGAATACGAACACCACCTAAAAACAAAAACACCACCAACATCCAGCCACAACTACTACAGCCTAGATAGACTACTCCAAAATATCCCCTCACGTACCATAGATAAAGTAACCCCAAAATCACCATGCATCCCACCTCCACCTCTCACAAATTACACCCAACAATGAAATAAAAAGATGCCCTCAGAATACCGCCTCTACGAATACACCCCCTCCACCGCCGCCGCCATCACAGCAACCACCTGCTTCGGCCTCATTACGATATGCCATTTGATCCATTACTTTGCGCAGCGAACATGGTTCTTCACTCCGTTTATTATAGGGGGTATATGTATGGCGCTCCTCCTCAATTACGCATCCCAAATCACAGAGACTGAGTAAATATATATATATATATAGTCGAAACAGCCGGCTACACAGCCCGTATAATCAACAGCGAACAAGCCCCCCTCCAGTGGACTACAGCACCATATATAATGCAAGAGCTGCTTCTTCTCCTCGCCCCGTCCCTCTTCGCAGCGTCTATATATATGGTTTTGGGCCGCATTGTTCGCGTTTCAAAGGGTGAATCACAGTCCCCGATCTCGGCTCGCTGGATAACAAGGGTTTTTGTTATCGGGGATGTGCTTGCTATTTTGGGGCAGGCGACTGGTTAGTTTCTCCTTATTATTGTATCTTTCGTTTTATGAATGTTGAATAATCGTTTCTTCATTTATGACCATGGATGGAGTGCTAACCATGATGGTATACCAGGCGGAGGAATTCTTTCCCAGACATCATTCTCCTCCACAACCTCAGATTCCAAATCAAATAAATCCCGCCAGAAACTTGGTAATTGGATAATCATCGGTGGTCTCATAGCACAGATTATCTTCTTCGGACTATTCATTCTCGTCTCAGGGGTGTTTGATGCGCGGATGACACGGTCTCCCCCGCCGCCGCGGAGCCGCAGAAGACATCGTCATCGGTATCGTCGTCGTCGATATCCCCCATGGCGCCAGTTACTTAGGGTGCTGTATGTTGTTGATGTGTTGATTATAGCGCGCTGCGTGTTCAGGGTTGTGGAGTTTGCGCAGGGAAGGGCGGGAGTATTGCAGAGGAAGGAGGTGTGGATGTATGTGTTTGATGGGCTGTTGATGTTTTTGGTTATGGTTGTGTTGTTGGTTTGGCATCCTAGTCGGCTTGGGTGTGAGAAGAGGGAGGGGAGGGGGAATGATGTGGAAGGGGGGAAGAAGAAGAGGAGAAGGAGAAGGAGTTCGAGTCATCGGAGAGTGAGGGGATGGGTTGAAGGTGGGGGTATTATTTAGATTTCTAGTCGTCGCTATGTGTTGGATAGATAGCTTGGATATGTTGGCTGTCGGGGGCATGTTGATTATGAAGAGTAGTGGCTTGCTAGTGTCTCGTAGAAATGCTTAGGTTGTGTTGGAGAAGTATCGGAGTATGATGGGTTGATCAAGCGCTAAATATTTCCATAGTTGTTATATACTGGTAGTGTAGATATTTGACACAGTCAAGCTGCACGGCTATAGACGGCCCTGCCGCATGGGCCGAATTCCCTGCTGCCACATCTCCCAATACGCCGGAACTTGAGGGATTGCCTCTGCCAGCTTGCGAAGACCTGTCATTCCTCGCTCCGCATGTACAGGGGCAACATCATCACCCGGAACATTCAACGAATTGTTAAACACCTCCAGGGACATTGGTCCCTTGTATCCAGTCGCTACCACAGCGGCAGCAACCAGATGAACTGGCATATACCCCCCACGCTCTGATTCAAACGGGAACAATCGATGCCCGCGTGACCATGGTAGCAGCGCAGGTATCTTGGGATCTGTCGGAGGGAGAAACTTCTTAGGATCCACACGCTCCGCGTCACCCACCTGGAAGAAGAAGATGCGGTCTCCAGGCACGGAAGCCACGAGGGACGATAAGGACGCACAGAGCACATCCGTGGACTCCTCCACGGTGGAATAGATGCGGCCATGACCTGCGGGATTATACGGATCCGCATATTCAACACCCAGCACGTTGTATGCATCGATTATAAGTCCAACGTTGGGACGATTTGCCATTCTCACAACTTCCCAGGTGGACGCCCAGGTATTTCGCACAGCCCAGGAAAGACCCTCGTAGCCGATGCGCAGCATCGGGCCGCCGTCTGCATCGGAGTATGCCTTGGCCATGTCGCCCAGCTCTGCGAGATCGCGTGCGACAGTCTTCAGGTCGGAGGTAACGCCAGTATCGGTACGGATATTCGCACACATGAAAACGAGGTCGGTGTCAAAGGCACGCATGAACGGGAAGCGCTTCGCAACAAGGTCCAACGTGGCTCGTCGCTCCGCTGGATCCTTGATACCTTCGATACAGCGTAGAGGTTGTGTGCATGCGATACGCATACCTAATGTCTTGACTAGATCGCCGAGCTTACGGGCGACCCGCAAGTTGTCAGGGGTTGCTTCCCAGAGTTGGTCACCGGGAAGTCCATGTTCCTCGAGGTAGGCTGCCCAGCACTCGTCGAAGAGGTCGATCCAGCGGTAACCAGCTTTCGCTGCGGCTTCGAGGCGGGGTTGAAGTTTATGGTGTATGGCGTTGCCGAGAGAGAGAGTGGCAATGCCAAACTCATTGGGGATGGAGGTAGGTGGCCAGGAGATAGGCATGATGGCTGTATGGAGCGATGGAGGGGTGTGCTTATGAGGAAGAGAGGAGTGGAATACTCGGGTGACGAAAAGAAAAGCAACGAGTCATCTTTGGCCCGGATAATCTTTCAGCACCAAAGTGTGGGGAGAAGGCTTTCCCGTCTGGGGTGGCTAACCCCTATCCCCGCGATGATCATCAAGAAATTCTGGGGATATATGCTGGGGTATGAATACTTAGCCTCCCCCAGGTCCTGAGCCACATCCAGGCCTCGAAGATTGTACCTCTGACGTCAGCGATGCACTGATCCCATGGATGTTGTGAAGTATGCCACTATTCACCCTTGCGAGGGGCTGTTGTGCTTTCAGGTCGTTCGTGTTGCGCACTTGCGACAGGCGAGGTACATAAACACCTTCCTTACTCTTACCTGGAAGATGTGTGAGGGCGACATGAGATAACCTTCCCTGGTTGGTTACGGATGAAGTTGTTTTGTGGTGTCGACAGGGGCTGTCGGCATCTTCCGCTGTCTCCGAGGTGGGAGTAAACTTTATCCCCCCGTGAACCGCATTTGCCTGTCCATGCTCAGTCATGGAGACCTAGAGTGTTTTCCGGTGTTATGTTACTTTGTCCCAATGCCTTTTCTCTCCCTAAGCGAGCGAATGGCCCTTCCCTGTCCGATTAATCGAAGTGCCTCCTCACCACTAAGTAGCCTCATCTAGGATCGGACCAGCTAGACGCATCGGTCCTTGGTTGAATCATGCCAATCCCGGCCCGGAAATGAATGGATGGTCTATTTCAATAATTGACCACCCCGGAAAACAAGCCTGCGTTCCCATTCTGCGCGAACCGGCCGCTAAGGCCTGTTCAAAAGGCCTCGGGGTCGGAAGAACCGGCACCGCAGGAATTCAATGCGACCGATGCAAGGACACGTCAGATCTGCATGGCGGATTGAAGATTCCCCGCCACTCTGGAGCGAGCAATCCCGGCGGGATGCCATTACTGTTAATCCTGGAATAATGTAAGGCACTGCTTCGGTCAGCTCCGTGCGGCGTGCAGATCGCCATTTGCCAATAGTCCGTATGGGTCCCAACAGCTGGGTAGGTCGGCCATGAAGACGGGCCATGATAATGAAGATTCTGTCTGGCGAGAGTGACAGCAGACAGGAAATTGAATAGCGTAGTGCTTTCCCTTCGCAGTGGGAAACAGACCCTGGATCGATCTCCACGACGAGGGTCAACAACAATGTGGATCTCATCCCATTCTTCCCGGCTTCCCTCCCCCGTCATGAGCCCTTTTTGGTACATAACCCTTCCTTGACTGATAGGACAAGCACGAGTCTTGAGAGCATGGAATGATGGGCCTGGCCAAGCCATCCTCTTTCTTGCCCCCTCGATGTTCACTGAGGGTCACATCACATTGGCCATCCCAGACATCATTGGGCTTTCTCCCCCTCCGCCGGAAGGGTCGTCGGACCAAGTGGATCTTCGCCCGCTAGTTAGTGAGTCTGTTAACCCGTTCTCGACTTCTCTCCGCATCTCAATCTCCACAGCCCATTCCATCATCCCCGGCTAGCATCTCCCACCGTTGGAACACTACTGCATCCCCTCGTACGACCAATTCCTTCCAAACTATGGCCTGTTCAGCTGGTAATAATGCAATTAGCCTAATCGGCTAAATCTCGGGGCAATGACTATTTAAATCGTCATCGAAGACATCTTGATAGCACTGAGCACTTGCCCCTGCATTGACGGAACGCGGGCGTCAATTCTTTTGGCCGTATCATGAATTCCAAATAGAAGGCCCAAACATGTACTTCTCTTCCTTCTTGGCCCTAGGGGCCTTGGTTCAGGCTGCAGCAGCAACCTATTTTGCCCCCAACTCTACCGGTCTTCGTATCCAGCATGGCTTTGAGACGATTCTTATCCAGCCATTTGGGTACGACGGATTCCGTGTGCGCGCATGGCCCTTCCGTCCGCCTTCGGGTAACGAGATCAGCTTCATCTACGATCCCCCGATCGAAGGCTATGAGGACACTGCGCATGGCATGAGCTATGACACCGCAACCACCGGCACGGAGCCTCGCACCTTGCGCAACGGCAATATCATCCTGCGCACCACCGGCTGGGGTGGCACCACAGCCGGATACCGACTGTCCTTTTATCGCGTCAACGACGATGGAAGTGAGACCCTTCTCACAAACGAATATGCTCCGCTGAAGTCTCTCAACCCCCGGTACTATTACTGGCCGGGACCCGGGGCCGAATTCTCAGCTGAGTTCTCTTTCAGTGCGACGCCGGATGAGCAGATCTATGGTACGGGCACGCAACAGGATCATATGATCAACAAGAAGGGCTCCGTAATTGACATGGTCAACTTCAACTCCTACATCCCTACCCCGGTCTTCATGAGCAATAAAGGCTATGCCTTTATCTGGAACATGCCAGCTGAGGGGCGTATGGAATTTGGCACCCTCCGGACCAGATTCACCGCCGCGTCCACGACGCTTGTTGACTATGTAATCGTCGCCGCGCAGCCGGGCGACTACGACACCTTGCAGCAGCGGATTTCGGCCCTCACAGGACGGGCCCCGGCCCCGCCTGACTTCTCGCTTGGATACATCCAGTCCAAGCTACGATATGAAAACCAAACGGAGGTGGAGCTGCTGGCTCAGAACTTCCATGACCGAAACATCCCGGTGTCCATGATCGTTATTGACTACCAGTCCTGGGCTCACCAGGGTGATTGGGCGCTCGATCCTCGCCTGTGGCCCAATGTCGCGCAGATGTCGGCGCGGGTCAAGAACCTCACCGGCGCCGAAATGATGGCATCGCTATGGCCCAGTGTTGCCGACGACAGCGTCAATTACGCAGCCCTGCAGGCGAATGGCCTTCTCTCGGCCACGCGCGATGGACCTGGTACCACTGACTCCTGGAACGGATCATACATCCGGAACTATGACTCCACCAACCCCTCGGCGCGGAAGTTCCTCTGGAGCATGCTGAAGAAGAACTACTACGACAAGGGTATCAAAAACTTCTGGATTGACCAAGCTGATGGCGGAGCGCTGGGTGAGGCGTATGAGAACAACGGACAGAGCACGTATATCGAGTCCATCCCGTTCACCCTGCCGAACGTGAACTATGCCGCTGGTACGCAGCTCAGCGTGGGTAAGCTGTACCCCTGGGCGCATCAGCAGGCGATTGAGGAGGGGTTCCGCAATGCAACAGATACCAAGGAAGGGAGCGCATGCGATCATGTCTCCCTGAGTCGGTCTGGGTACATTGGATCCCAGCGGTTCTGCAGCATGATCTGGTCTGGAGATACTACATCCGTTTGGGACACCCTGGCAGTGCAAGTAGCCAGTGGACTGTCCGCCGCAGCAACAGGCTGGGGTTGGTGGACGGTCGATGCCGGTGGCTTCGAAGTCGACTCGACTGTTTGGTGGAGTGGAAACATTGACACGCCCGAATACCGGGAGTTGTATGTGCGCTGGCTGGCTTGGACGACTTTCCTGCCATTCATGCGCACTCACGGTAGCCGGACCTGCTATTTCCAGGACGCCTACACCTGTGCCAATGAGCCGTGGTCCTATGGTGCAAGCAATACACCCATCATTGTCTCGTACATTCATCTGCGCTACCAGCTGGGTGCTTACCTGAAGTCCATCTTCAACCAGTTCCACCTCACAGGTCGGAGCATCATGCGCCCATTGTATATGGATTTTGAGAAGACCGACCCGAAGATCTCCCAGCTGGTGTCGTCGAACAGCAACTACACGACGCAACAGTACATGTTTGGCCCACGTCTCCTGGTCTCGCCAGTGACCTTGCCGAACGTGACTGAGTGGTCCGTGTATCTGCCGCAGACGGGACAGAACAACACCAAGCCTTGGACATACTGGTGGACGAATGAAACGTATGCTGGAGGACAGGTCGTCAAGGTGCCTGCCCCCTTGCAACATATCCCCGTGTTTCATCTGGGATCGCGCGAGGAGCTTCTCTCGGGTGATGTATTCTAGGGATTCTTCGATTCAGATCAGTGACAGGATAGAAAGTCTATGAGAAGACTTAGCACATTATGAATATCAGCCGTCTTACTTGGACGCAATCTTAGTTGGAGTGGATGCTCATGAGATTCAGGAAAGGTAGAAGCATGTAATAAAGAAAGCCTGGAGGGAAGAGAATAGCCCGAACGTTGTTGCTGACAGGTGACTGGCACGTGTTGCCTTCAATTCCACAGCCAACACTCCTCTTGTGCGGTACAGGACACACAATCCATACGTGTATTCTACCTCAATAGCTCGTCTACCACTATCAGTAGCATAGTATGCATCTCAGACTGCCGGTAATAGAAAGTGCTAAATCCACTTCAAAACAGACTACATAAATGATTTAGGACACTTATGATACAGAACACGTCCATGCAGAATATCCCAATGCACATAGTAGTTACAAGATTACAAGGACCAACAACAACACAAACAAAGACAATCAGCCCGCACAATCAATCAGCTCCTACCAGCGGCTTCTGCTCCGCCGACTCAGGTGGGGCCTGCTCATCCCAATCACACCGGCAATGCTGGGCACGATAGCGGAGAATAGCAGCGAGACTATTCGCCGTAGTAAGAGCTTGCAGCACCGCAGCTGTCCAGACCATTCCCATGAACGAGGTCCCCGTCGTCGCTGACACGCCATAACCATTACCGGATTTGTTGATCAATTTCACAAATTCCGTGGTAATGACGCTGGCGATGATGGAAGCAATTGCGAAGCTGAGAAGGCTCACCTGCATAGTAGATACGACATTAGCAATCTATGACGATGCCAGGGGCTATAACTCTATACTAACCAGGAAAGCAAGGAATTCAATACTAGATGGAGGGATGTCAAAATCAAAGCTAGATGCCGAGCTTCCGGGGTACATGGGCGGCCTGCTACTTTCCGACGCTCGCGCACACACGACCGTCCAGATGCGGATTCCAATAGCTATAGCGGATGTGGCAGTTCCAAGGATCAGAAGCAGGACCATCGTTGTGTTGGTGGGAGCTAACGCCTCGAAATCGTCTGTTATCCAGGACGGCCAGCTGTCTGGGGATAGACTGCCTGACGGGGTGCCCAAGGCTTTTGTTATAGCTTCACCAGGGTTGAAGGTGAACAGCACGCTGCGGTCGGAGCAGTCAACGATTTCGGTTTTGGTTGTTGTGGCGTTGGTGGTCTCGTCTGATACATATATCTCCTGATACCCAGTGCAGTAGGACATGGTGTAGATGGAGAAATAATCGGGGGCACCCTGTCCACCGGCACCTCCTGTATGTAACTAGTGAAGAGGGCATGAGTGATAGAAGGTATAATCGGAAACATCGTCAACTTACAGTTAAGAGGTCTGCCTGGGGTAGAAACTGGCGCTGGCTGCCAGCGAAGAGAGAGAAAATGCCTAGCAGGAAAGCAACGCAAGAGCCGATACCAGGCAGGAAGATCTGGAGACAGCCCATGATGATGTCTATGGTTAGTTCTCTCTTGGACCAGTATACTAGCGGGTACGAGGGTAGATGTGATTGCAGATTTCCCTCTGCCGAATCAATAAGGGATAGACGCGTCTCTTCATGAGGCAATAGACACGATATAAAGAACGAGTCATGCCTCACACAAGGCGATACTGCAGAAAAGGAAGATCTTATACAGCGAAGATAGCTGGCTTGTAATGGCCGTGCTATTCAGCAGACACTGTCTCACTTCCATATTCGGCTCCCAGCCACCGAATTCTGGGAATGCTTAGCCATGCTTCTATGAGGGCGCATCGCCAGTGACCCAAACCCTTGGTAAATTCTGCCGTACGCAGGTAGGGGTTACGTAGAGACTTCATCAGGGAGAGAGCAAGGTCTCCGGATCTAGTCCCAGCCACGCAATTTGTAGTCCTGCGCGATGAGTCTGTGTGATCAGGTATCATAGGAGCACATTGCTTGTACGCCCACCGTAGATGCTAGGTGGAATGGTGATCAGAACCGGCAATGTTTCGATTCGCCCGGGCCCCAACCCAATGGTAGATTAGTACTCCATTTAGTTACTGGGTCACAAAGAAACTCAATATCACTTAAGAAGAGACGTTGAAGGTTACTCCCGTCACTCGGAGCCAGCCGAGAAGCATGGCAAGCTTGTCCCGGGAAATCCTCCGAGAGGTACATTCCCTGCACCACTGACTGGTATGCAAAAAGCACCCAGGAACCCGGAACCTCCATATAAACTCAGGTTACACGAGGATTCCCCAGATACACTCAAATATGCTGTTACAGAACGAGAAACAGGTTTCGAGGCTCCATACTGTTATTTGAGTGGTCGGATCTACCTTCCGAGTCGCTATGTTTCAGAGGTGGAAACTAGCAAAGTCATCGACGGAGTTCTAGACAGACTATAATAGCATCTTATGTTAGTCGCCCCGTCGAGGCCATTTCGGGGACCCGTCTAGACAGGCGCATGAACGGCTATGCTTGTCAACGTCGAACTTGCAGCGTTCGGTCGAGACCCGGGCTAACATTCTTCACCGTTTAAATAACGGATTTGTAGAGTACGGATGCAAATATGGGGACTATGTTATCTAGTCTAAGTTGTGTCTATCATTGTATTATATCTACAGCAAAGCCCAGGGTTGATCATTATTAATCTACGCCTCTTTGATATCTTCTTCGGCAGGCGGCATCAAATCCATCACAGGGGCCAATTTACTCTTCTGCCGAAGACGGCCACCAAAGAGGTAGAACATCAACGGAATGGGAATCATTACCACAGCAATGCATCCCAGCAATGTGCCGGCCCATTGAATGCCCAAATTGTTGAACATTTGTCGCGTGAATAGAGGAAAGACGGCACCCACCATGGATCGCATCATGGTATTTGCCGCAAAGGCAGACGCCGCACTGCTTAATTAGCATGTAATCCAAGGGTCACTATAAAAGGGATATGGGGGTATTGAAGGCACTCACAACTTCGAGTACGTATCTAGGATGTAGTTGAAGCACTGCATGAAGATGGAAGTCAAGCCAAATCCTACGGCCACACCAGCAGCCGTGGGTGCCATCCAATGAATGTTACTGTTCCATCCAGTCCAACCGAACCTGCTCCGCTTATCAGTATTTCCACCGAGTCTGGCGTTGTACACATGCGTGGAGAGAATCATACCAGAATAGTCCACCAGCAAACACCGCACCACCCACGATGCAAGGGGGGAGACGCCATTCGGGCACCGCAACGTAATTGTTGGCCGCCAACTTCCGCGAATATCGTCCCGACAAAGACAGAACAAACGTGCTACCGGCGATTTCACCAATGATAAGGCCAATAAAGGCAACCCTGCGGTACCACCGGTCATGCCATAGGTACCTTCGAAGATGATCGGATAAGCTTCCAGCAACGCATAGGCCAATCCGTAAATGAATGACATGTAGAGGGTGAGCAGAAACGCAATGGGCTCGGTGAACAGAATCAGGAACGGGCGCGCCAGGTTCTTGGTAACCAATTCTTTGAAATCAATCTCCAGTTCATCCTGACGGGCGTGGATGCCCCAATTCCGTGTCTGGCGCCGGAGAATGGCTGCCTTTTGAACCAGAATGATTGGGGCATAGGTCTCTGTAGTAAAGAACACTATTAACGCGAGACAGAAGAACCCAACTATGGCAGGGACGTATAGCGTCCATCGCCAGCCGAGATAGCTTGACGCGGTGTATCCACCGATGAATGGGGCTGTGAAAGGACCGGTAAACACCGACATAGTGTACATGGCAATAGCAACACCACGTTGGTGGTTGTTGAAGACGTCAGACAGGCTAGCAGGCACCAGAGCAATGATACTGGCCGCACAAAAACCCGCAAAGAAACGGCACAGCATCAGGGTTTGGGTATCCTTGGCGGTGGCAGTAGCTATCATGAAGAGGTCGAAGCCGAACATCCCAAGCAACAGCGGCCATCGCCGGCCAAGCAGCTCGGAACTAGGCGCCCACACTGTTGGGCCGGCCGAGAACCCTAGGACATACAGAGTCGTTCCCAGGGCCGCAACTTCCTCACCAAAGCCGAACTCTTTCTCGGCACCTGAAGCCGCGGTTGCAAACACCGCACTGCCGTATGCGGTCACTAGGGCACAGGAGGTGAGAAGTGATCCAAGCATGACCCTATACGGCATCAGCAACCGTTCATGTCTATACACGTCCGACAGGTGAGTTGTGTTGCTTTACCTCTTCTTCATGGGCCAGTTATGGGGATGCATCGGATCATCCGCTCCTTCGAACTCGACCACATATGCCTCGGAGTCCGGTAGAGGCGGGGGATACGGCTTGCCCGCCCCAATAGGCAACCATTGGTCTTGTGGTATGCGACTTCCGCGAGATCCGACTGTCAGTTGTTGTTGGAGACGATAGGTGTTTATTCGCTCGAGCTCGATACTGTCATTGCCGGGGGGTCCGCCCTGCGAGTAGCGGCGACGGGATAGGGAGACACCGTCCGCTATGGACGAGGAATCGTCGGCTTTGGCCCGGGCTGAATCATGATGGAATCGATCCATGATTCACGAATCACCTACACTTTGGGCGGACGAGGGGGCTTGAGAACGGCACGAGTGTCAGCTAGCGAACACAGGGCTTATACATGGTACTAATATTAAATATGATAATGGTCTGGTTGGCCCCAGGAAGGCCCTGCAAATTTTCGCCGCTCATTTTTTTTCCTTCTTCTCACCCAGCTTTGGGCGGAAACCAAACCAAATGCTCTAGTGGGTCATCAAGGAAGAGCATCGGCCACTCAGCCAGAAGCGTTTAGATCCACCGAGTCGGTGGATAGAGGATTCCCTGGGGCTGTCCCGGATAAGACGGAGCAGACATGGCGCTATGCATATACGACCTGGTATAAGCCTTGATGCCGGACCATCAGATTCGGCTAGATAGCTATCAATGTTCCTGCCTGGGCCATGGGTAGTATCTTGAGTCCGCCCGGGAAGTAAAATCAGCCAACTTTAAAATTCGGGCAGTGGCGGAGCCGAGAGAAGTGGTCGGGAAGTTCAAACCGGGTCTCCAGGCCATGGACTAGGCTCTCCGGAACTCGGACGCATATGATTATGGCGTTATTGAGCATTCCCCATCGCCTGGGGAGTAGCTATATTGTAGTGGGCTCAGCCCGACTTTTCTCGCCGGGATGATTTCCGTCGAAGAAAGATATCTGTGGAGGACATGAAAGACCTAGACGCGACCCCTGCTTGCATCCTCAGTATCTGCTGGACCGCCATCTGTACCTTTGAGTCACTGTCAGTAAGACAATCATCTGATGCCTACGTCAGACGGTGAGATGGCATATGGGAGAATAAGTAACTATAGCGACGTGATTGATTGTGGTGATGCCCGCCGGCAAAGCAAAAAAAAGGGGAGGTGCGGAATGAGTTCCGCTGCCGACCGGCAATCGGCATCCCACTGGTTTGGATTTGTTTGATTATAATCAAAGTGAATGGCAACGGGACATGCTTTGTGCAAGGTGGAAGACGGTCGGGGTTCTCGATCACTGCCTGAACTAGACTGTCATCCTCGTGAAGCATGAAGCCAAAATTTTGCCCTCTGGAAAATGCAATAATACCATCAATCTCCTTCATGAGCGGACTTTTGACCACGGACTAACTAGTTGACTGGATGACCCCAAAAATGGCATCAGATCAAAGATTTCGAACTTGCGATCGAGATATGATGGGTGCAGGACATGTTTGTGCGGATGGTGGAGAGATATAACACAACTAGTGCTATCTACCTGTCTTTCGCAGATAGATCAATAGTTTGGTAGTACTATTGGTGGTGGCATCAATCTACCCCGCGGGGAAACCAACCCCTCACCAGCCAGGAAATCAGATTCCGATCCATCCATCAACAATCACCACGCCGGGTATTGATCCTACGTCTTCTTTATCTGTTGCTGCACCCCCCGCACCGCATCATTTGTGGTCTCAAAGAACGAAACGAGATCAACCAACTGTGCCAATATGATTACTGGTCTCCACCACGTCAACATCCTCGTCCCGGAAGGCACCCTGGACCGGGCGGAGGAGTTCTACACAAACACCCTGGGTCTGCCATCAGCCCCAGTTCCCCATCTACAGAAAGGAACTCTCCTATGGTAGGAAATCGATGCTCACGCTTCGATAAGATGGACCAGTTGTGGTTAATTTAAGTAGGTTCAACCTGACGCCGGATGGCAGTCAGCAGATTCATGTAGCCTTTGGGTCGAACAGCGATTTACATTCCGACCGTCACGCTTGCCTGAAAGTCGCGTCGCTGGACAAGCTATTGGCCCTGCAGCAGCGCATCTGGGAACATCATCAGAGAGGGGGTGATGCTGCCCCCTTGCACGCTGATAAGCCGGGGGAACAAAACTCGGGTATGTTATTCTTTCCCTTGCTCTTCCTTAGCTCCTCAAAAGCAGTATCTCTCTGAGCGGATGCGGCCGCATCGTGCTGTGTTAGATGGCTTGGTCTCACCATAATAGCCTGCTAATCGTGAATCCCTCATTGTAGGCGCCCAGGGCATCGAATATCCGAGCCGCTTTTTTGCCAGGGATTTTGCAGGTAACCGGCTGGAATTCACCTTATGACACGAATGGACAAGTTGGACGAGACTTTCTTTTCATCTTATATACCTGAGGAATGGGGATGAAGTTTTAATGGAACATTAAACATGCATCTCCTGAGTTCTGCAGTACCTTTTCACTGCACACTCATATAAACGCCCCGATTCAAGACTCCGTTCGTGACCTTTCTTGTCAATTCTGATGGATTTAGTGAGCGGGTGCGAGACGAAGTGATTGGCCTGAGCAACGTATTGGCTTTCCTACTTCCCCTGTCAAAGCAAGGACATGGCGACAATCCATCGAATGCACCTAATCCACATTATTCCGGCAATGTTATCGCCCAGTGCATGGTAAGAGTGGCTCAGAGGTGATAAGGCACACCCATCTATGAGTAGAGCTTGTAGAGCTCAATGAAATCTGAATTGAAAGATTGAGGCATGGAGAAATCGGGGTCTAGTATGTCGAACTACAGGGGAAGACCAGAGTTATATGTTTCAACAGCAGTTCCTTCCCGGAAGAATATTTATTAGTAACCGTAGTAAATCCATTTTCCGGCGTTGACACCGCCCCTCGAGGGATCTGCAGCAGCAAGACTCGGTACCGAGGATTACAGCAGCCCCCCTTCAGATCTACTACGAAGTACCCATGAAGATGGCATTGTTCACATATCTTGGAGTGTGTTATGCTCTCTGTGTCCTTGTTGGGAAAACTACCAAATGTCATGATTGTTGCAAGACACCTGGGATACATAGTTGCTGGCTACTGGCCTATTGTGCTCGCTGTCACTGTCACTGCCGATGGTGGAGCCTCGCTACGGCAGAGCGGGTACGTGAGCAAGATCCTTACGCTATTGCGCCATGGCCGCTACACAGTACAAGCCGGACCCCACAGAGGGGCCCGTGTGTCGGTGGTGTTTATCTATTGCCAGGTACCCAGAGGGGCACAAGCAAAGATCTTCGAGCTGTCAATTCAGAGACGGAGCTGAAAAGGCACTCGAACCAGCCATGCGTGCTTCCTCCGAACGATCCTCCACCGATGCCATGGCCAGAGACGAACCTGACACAATGGTGCCCACACCGCACGAGGAGCAGCCCTTGCTGCGTCCCGATGCTGAAGCCCTCTGGAAGCCACCGGTAGGCTTCGTTTGGATCCAACTAGGTTTGTCGATGGTCAGTTCGTGACATGAGGGGTCTAACACAATTACAGCCATCATGTCGAATGTGTTCCTGTCTGGTTTCGACGGCACTATCACTGCCTCAACCTATGCTGTAATCAGCTCCGAATTCAACGCAGCCAATACCGCCTCGTGGCTCACAACTTCCTACCTGATCACTAGCACCGCATTTCAGCCACTATACGGTCGCTTCTCGGACATTTTCGGTCGCCGAACCTCCTTCTTTACAGCGACAATCACCTTCATGATCGGCTGTTTGGGTTGTGGGATCGCTAAAGATATTGTCCTTCTGAATCTGATGAGAGCGCTGACCGGTATTGGCGGTGGAGGCTTGATGACAATGGGTATGCACTCGCAAATATCCCCTTTCTCACTTGTCAATCTTCCAGAAGAGAGACTAATGTGATCCAGCCACTATTATCAACTCAGATCTCATCCCCTTCCGTCGTCGCGGCATGTATCAAGCCGTACAAAACGTTCTACATGGATTTGGGTCCATCTGCGGCGCATCGTTTGGAGGGACCATTGTCGATTCAGTTGGGTGGCGCTGGTGCTTTCTGTTACAAGTACCGGTCGGGCTTCTAGCTCTGATTACCGGTCATCTTGTCTTGAACCTGCCAACCCAGGACAAGTTTGCCAGCGAAGGCAGGAGTCTGCGGACAATCTGGAAATACGTAGATCTGTCTGGAGCTTGTGCTCTGATCGTTGGTCTTTCAACACAGTTGGTGGGTCTAAGCTTGGGTGGAAATGAGCTCCCCTGGTCCAACGTGTGGGTGATCTTGTCATTCGTGGCAAGTATAGTATCACTGGGCCTTTTCGTACTCATTGAGGCAAAGACAACTGCAATCCCATTGATTCCCCCTCGAATGTTGAAAGGTGTTCTGCCTGTTGCTACGCAGGTTGCCAATGTCTGCGTGGGAATGGCTGCCTATGCGGTGAGTGACCCTGATATCGGGTACCCAATTCATTGCTGACCGTTAAAGTTCCTTTTTACGCTCCCATTATTGTTTCAGGTAATCCTTTTGGATTCCCCTTCTAAGGCAGGTGCCCGACTTGCCGTACCGTCTCTTGCTACTCCGATTGGTGGTGTGATTTCTGGCTATGTGATGTCGCGCTGGGGTAAATTGGCCTACCTAGTCCGCACAGGCTCGTTTCTCATGTGCATTGGCAACATACTTGTGATGCTCCTTCAGTTCAATGACGCAGAGTGGAAGTACTACGCGGCCATGATTCCCGCCAGTCTTGGCCAAGGCATCACTTATCCAGGCATCTTGTTCACGTTCCTTGCCGCATTCGATCACGCCGGTATGAGCACCTTTCTGCCACTTTCTTCGCCAGAGATATCTTGACTGAACAATTAAACTGACTGATTTGTAGACCACGCAGTTTCAGCGTCTACTGTCTATCTGGTCCGTTCGATGGGTACGGTGTGGGGCGTCGCCATTACGTCCACCATTATCCAGAACACCTTGCGCTCAGGCCTCGCTGAGGCCTTGAGTGGAATACCAGACAAATGGAAAGTAACTCTCCTTCCAATGGACTTACTAATACCCCGAAACAATGGCTGATCAGTATTATGCTACTCGCACAGGTTATCGACGACATCAGACATTCAGTGTCTGCCATCCATAGTCTGCCGCCAGAGATCCAGCTGGCTGCGCGGATGGTCTATTACCGGGGTATACGCCTGTCATTCTTGGCGTCAGCGTGTTTCGGATTCGTTGCTGCTACTGCAGCTCTATTCACTCGCGGAAAGGGCCTCCATCGCTCCAGCGAGGCGTAGATCATGCGTATGTCGCACACTGACTCGCTTAACAGACAAGCCATCTGGAATGCGGTCCGCCCAGTACCTGGATGAGATGCGGGGCCGAAGTGGCGACTCTCGGGGAAGGTAGGTCTGGTGGACAAATGATCGCCAGCTTCAATTTTGGAGGACTCGGCTTCGCAAACTTAGAATTAGACAAAAGTCAATTAGCTCATGAGAGGAGGGGAGAGGCTTTTGGTTTATGACCACCCATACGGGGTGATCTGTTGGACTGACCAGGCAGCTGACTGGTTATGAAGGAGACGTCCAATCCCAGAAAAAGCACAGACTATAATAAATACACTCATTTTGGATTCCCGTGCATTAATATCCTTTGATTGCCCGCTCCGGCGTGAGTTCTAGATGATCGATTGATCCCATGTGCCCAGCAGGATCCATTCCGCAATGCGGAGAAACCCCGTCTACCGAGGGAACCTACTCTGGAGCAGCTCCCCTTTCATGGATCACCGCAGTGGAACACCAATAGAAGCCATAGACGCCAAAATCCCTCTGCCTGGATATTGCGGGGAAGTTCTCATTCTGACAGGCCCGGCGGCGAGTCTGGAGATATAGGGCAAGCTCCACGACACTATGCCATGGTTAGCCGCATTTCCCCCGCACGATCGTCGACGATCATATCCAGTTCATGAACAATTCCGCCTTAGTTCCGCTATAATGAACGTTCCTAACCTTAATCTGGGGTTGGTCTTGCTTTTATCTCCCTCTTGGTTGGACGGGGCGTGATAACAGGGCTCGGAATTCGATAAGCGTTCCGGGATATCTTGGGTATCAGCCATCAGTCATCCCTATCGGGCCTGGATGAACAGGATGAATCAAGGAAACTCAGTCCCCACCGCTTTGATCTTATCGACCTGCGATGCTTGTCGAAATCGAGGCTTACAGCTGTCAAGGTCCCTTTTAGCTGTGCGGAGCTAAGGTTATACTCGTAGGAAGAAGGATTAATAAGACGGATGGTCCTCCTCTCAAAACATATTGTTTCCGCAGTCCCTCGTCACACAAAGAAGAACATAAGAGACTATGGAGTCGGACAATACTAAGGCCTCGCCCCTCAAATCAGGGTATGCCGCTTCGGCAGACCCTGAAGTTGACATGGACAAGGGGCAGGTTGCCCTTGCGGGTATCCCGGACATGCACCTGAAGCGAAACTTCAGCATCGTCAGTATAATTGCCCTGGGGTACAACAATACAAATAGTTGGGTGGCTATAGCCACGAGTTTTGCTATTGCAATCCAGTCAGGCGGTGCAGTCTCTCTCCTGTATGGCATTCTGCTGGTTACTGCTGCCATGTTCTGCACGGGTGTGACTTTGGCAGAGCTGGCCAGCGTGTACCCCACTGCTGGTGGCCAGTACCATTTCACATCCATCCTGGCGTCTAAGCGATGGAGTCGCGGATTGTCTTACTTCAGTGGCATGGCCGCAGTGTTTGCGTGGGTTACCCTTGGGGCCTCTATTGCACTGGCCGGAACAGAGGCACTCTTGGCCATCGTCATCCGATGGCAGCCATCATATGAAGCCCAAAGCTGGCACTATTTCCTGGTATATCAACTGCTGAATGCAGTAATGGTCATCTACAACATCTTCCTAACCAACAAGACTCTCTGGGTATACAATTTAGGGTGTTAGTTAGCCCCCTGCCAATTCACACGAGGCAATACTAATATCTTGCTTCTCCTCGCACAGTCATTCTATCCATTTCAACCTTCCTTGCCATTATTATAGCCTGTCCTGTACGCTCCTCCGCACATGTCAACACCTCAAAGACTTGGAGTCAGTTCGTCAACGGCTCAGGCGGCTGGCCGGACGGCATCTCCTTCTTGACGGGGCTTTCCACGCCTCAGTTCATGTTTTCCGGACTCGACGCAGCACTACACCTTGCAGAGGAATGTCTCGAGCCTGCTCGTATCGTACCAAAGGCTCTGCTTGTCACAGTGATCGTGGGGCTCCTGACAGGGTTCCCCTTTGCCATTGCCATCCTATACAGCTATGATAATATTGAAGCATCCCTAACCACACCGACAGGGTACGTATACGCCCCAGATTCATGTACAGAGTGAAATATTAACGCGGAAATGTGCCCAGATTTCCTATCTACTTCATCTGGGAAAAGGCCACCCGCTCCCCAACAGCTGCAACAGTCTTCATGGCTGCACTGTTCGTCGTTTCTTTCGTTGCACTAAACGCAGTGCATCAGACCGCCTCCCGGCTTACATGGTCCTTTGCTCGTGATGACGCTCTGTTTTTCTCCTCTCGTCTCTCCTCTATACATCCTACCCTCGGAGTTCCCGTTTGGGCCATTCTTCTGGATGGCGCAGCAGTGCTACTAGTCGGGATTGTCTATGTCTGCTCGACAACTGGTGAGCCTTCCTTTACCCACGCATACACGAAATAAAAGGGAGAGTTTGGTTTTGACACACAGCAATAATAGCATTCAACGCCTTCATCAGCACCACCGTCGTGGTAGCCCAAATCTCCTACGCCATCCCAGCTCTTCTTCTCCTCTTCGGCGGGCGGAGTCCGCAGTACCTTCCCCCAGATCGCCCATTCAAGGTGCCCAATATGCTCGGATATGTTTGTAACGTTGTCTGCGTTATCTGGGCTATCATCCTGACGATTTTCTTTTGCTTTCCGACGGAATTTCCCGTTACGGGGAGTAACATGAGTACGTGTTTCCCTTTTTCCCCCTATTATCTATCTGCTTTGTGATGATGCAGGTGATTTGCTAACGCGTATATAACGTTCAGACTACGCTTCAGTAGTGCTAGTCGTCATGTTGATCCTAGGTGTAGGGAACTGGTTTGCTTACGCGAAAAGGCATTATCATGGGCCACGATTGGATATTTAGTTTTGGTGAAGGACACTTTGATTCATGATTGATGACTAGCTCCAATTGAATATTTTCATTGCAAAGGATAATTCACAGTAGTTGTTCTTCAGAATCGTGTCAAATTTCGGGGCAGTATCATTATATAGACAAGGGATTCATATAAATGCCCACTTCCATCAACAGGGATTTTATCCTTCACCTTTACTCACACGAGGAAAGCACCTACCTAGGCAAATACCACAGACTCATCATAGTGATGTGATATACATACCGTCGGAACGATTCCGAGCCCAACCGTTCGGTAAGTGGGGAGGAAGGATCATTGGACGGGGATGGATTATGTGTTGGATAGTACTCCGCACTCCCCGGCCAATTGATCCAATCTAATCCGATAAGATAGATAATAATTATCTAGTCTTAAGTGCGTTTTGTAATTACCGTGGGGATGCGGTAGTTATCGCTTATCGGCTTCCTTGTGGGAATGGGACTATTATTGAAAGTAGTCTACGAAGAAGAGATATGTTGTTGGGCGTTGGTGGTTTCGTCGTGTGCTGTATGAATAGCAAATAGAATCTTATCAACAGCCAAGAACAGTTGGTATGGATAAAAATATCATTCATAGCTACAACTCCACGACCACAACAACAACAGGTTATTGTAGTAAAAGCTAATACCATGCATTATCCCTAGAATACCACAAGAATAGACCAGTCACTGTTTCTCATTCTGAAAGAATGAATAGTATTTCCAAACGAGCTGCTGTGCTTGGAGCAGCTTGCCATCTGCTACCTATCTTATTGTACAGATTTCCGCTAAACGCTGCTTTTCTCAGACTTACACAACTGCGGACATAGTTCCCTGCCTGGTAGTTCTAATACTATATTTCCTAGTTTGTAACAAAAATGATGCTTCTTATGCTCTTTCTTCTCCAGGATTGGGGTGATTACTTTGCTGACGTAACTCCATTGCCGGATAGTGGACTGCCTCTGTAGACGGGGAGTTGCATGCTTCCAGCAGTATGCACTTGTATGAGGGGGAGGAAGTAGTGGAGTTGAAAGAGTTGAATGTTGATACGGTAAGTCTTTTCTTAATTCATTTTTTTTCTTCTTCTCTTCGTTTCCTTCCTCGAGAAACGGTCACGGTAGAATTTGCTAAGAAATGGGAAATGATGCTGCAGGCACGACTACGCTGCGAAAGACAGATGCTATTCCGACTGCCTTGTGTCACAAGCGGTGGTGTTGTGGTCCGAGCATATCTGTATCCGTTGCAGGATGTCAAGAAGGAAGGGAATGGGTCAAGACTAGTAGAGGCAATTGCGGGATTGAAGGAGGGCAGCTCACCAGGCTTTCACTTCTATAAGCGCGCGGCGGTGTGGCAAGGGCTGTGAGTGAGTATTTACTTTATGGGAGTGGGGATGAAATAAGGTAGATGTGTCGATGTAAGAATCGGTTGAGATATGATGAAGACTATGTTCTAAATAAGTTTATTTTAGAGTAGCGGTGCTTTCTCCTTTCTACTGTATGCGTATTCTCACCTTTGAAGATTAGCAAACTGAACAATAAGCTAGGTCTATTCATCTTACTCATTGATAATGATCGAAGAACAAAATTCCAAGAAGAAAGCGTTATCATAACACTGCAGACACAGTATATACTATATGATATAATAGTTCACCGGTAATTTCCAAGACTGTAATCCCATACTACTTCACAATACTAGCTACTATTCTTTTGTATATTGAGACAGCACGGAACTGATTAGTCTCCAATCTACCTTCCTGCCGATCTTGCAATTCAGTACTAGCCACTATTTCTTTTACCAAAAGTGGAGCTGTCCAATGAAAGGAGCCTTGGTCAACGTATGTTACACTGAGTTCTTGGACAAGTGAAACACAACCACCGGCTAGATTCTTGGCCTTCGCAGAATCCACGTTTTAATATAACTCGTCAGCCAAGGTTAATGCTGGAACAAGGGACAAGGCATATATCCCTCGTAACATACTCCAAGCCCTTGGCACAGCCAGGTATAACCGGAATCGTTTGCCCTGGGCTACCTCAACCTTTGCATGGAGCTTCCAGTGGATATATTTTCACTCAACATATACTCTGTAGCTCACAACCAACACCCTGATTCCTACCGGTGGGTCCTCTGGTTATCTGATAAGATCATTTGCACATATCTGAACCCCTGTGGGTATGCGCTATCCCTCATGTGTATTGGATATGTCTCTCATGACTGGATCTTTTCGGCAATGATATGCAGATATGAGAGCTTCTTACAACTTAGTGATCTCTCTTGGATTTCACCTTTCCTTGGCCCTATATATCTCTCAACGGGTTCTTCATTATGTGAATATACCAATTACGATTTCATGATTTGGGAAGTCGATGAGGCCGTTGAGCAACTTGCTCAGCCCTTGGAGTCTCAACTGCTTGTCTTTCGGCATTTCAAGGAAGCACTAAGTTATATCGACGGAAAACCCTGAATAATCATCTAAATTACCTGGTTCTCCAATCAGCAGCGATAGCCCCTCACTTAATATCGTACAGGCTAAGAGCTAATGCTAGTAGTGGAATGACATCGGAACATACACTCCCACCATCCATCTCTTATAATCAGAGGGGAAGGGGTATTCCAAAGCGGTTAGCTATAAATTGGACCTGAACTTCAGCTCAGGATTCACACATGTTGCTCACAATCACACTCACCTTCCCACATCCCACATCATTGCACACGCGCCCCGTTCACTATCCCAACCAACAAAATGGAATACCTGGATCTTCTTCCTCGCAGTGTTCGCAGCTGTCTCCAACGCCACATCCGTGAACTTGAATCAAGAGTGCGAAGCCAGCATTAACACACCCATTGAGGGACTGGAGAAGCGCTGTGTTGGCGGTAGTCCACCCCCTTTCTTTCGAACATCCCCTACTCCGGCATCGAAGGACATAAATGCTGGCTTGAGATATGACAGCGGGGCTCTCGTGCACTACCGGCTCTGATTGCTGCAGTAGCGCTTGCCGTAAGCTTACCAGGCGCTGTCTTGGTCCTTGAACTAGAGCCTAGGTTGGTGGGATGCATATTTCCTGCCACGGATGTCCGCAAGGTAAACTGACCGACTTTGTGATTTGGAGTGGAGCGCTCGACGCGGACTGAGCTTGTTGCATTGACCTTACGGACTATCTTTGGATATTATGTGGTGATGCTCGGATAAAAGCTAACTGAGCGCAATTAAGCAAGTATCTAGAATATGAGAACTGATATGCTTCTTGTTGCTATCTTTGTTGCGGGCTTGCATATGAGTACAGTGGAGAACAAAAGAAAATTCAGCTGTAGTGCCTCCCATTCACGACTGTCCATTACCTCGTGTGGAATGGCCTTAGTATACCAGATACTAGAATAAATATATTTTCTTTTCCCCTTAAGGACTTTTCTCCTCCAATTATATCCTGCCATATACTTCACCTCGGGGATTAATCTGTGATGAAATCTCCTTGTCAGGGCAGAAAGCCTGTGAGGGATTGTCCACTAAAGCCACAAGAATACCTCCGAAACACTCCGTCTCGCATGCCGATCATTCCACTTCTCAAAGGACTTATCTAACTGTTCTATCATATTGCTTTTTCTTTCCATTCAGCTCAGGAAATTAAATGAACTAGCGGTGAAAAGGGGACTTACAATTAAAAATCAAATTCTTAATCACTATGGACCCGAGACAGTCTCATACGTCAACTCTACTACAATTTCTTATTCTTCATGCGCACACCCACACCAATCGTGTCCGAAACCATCATGGCCGGATACTATCAACCAGTTTCAAGACTTTCCTTCATAGGCACCACGCAAACCTTGATCCCCCCAATCGTGACCATAGTTACTCCGAAGGGATCTCATCTGCGCTACCTGACCATCCTATTCATGATATGGATTTTCACATTGATGCTCTACCCTGTTGAAAAGCAACCATATATAACAACCTTATCTGCTTGCGCCGGCGGCTTCGGCATTATCACAGCTCTCGACATCCTGTTACTCAACCCCAAGCAAGCAGCAGACTTTATGAGTGACAGTACTACCAGTAATAATAGAACAACAAACAAAATCACGCGCTTCATCTCTATCTTTCGAGCCGCCTTAGAATATCAGATTAATGCCCGGAAGATCAACACCCCCAGGGAAGCAAAGAACACACCTTCCCTGCCAAGATATTACGCCCAGGGAAATGGCTCAAAGTCTATCCCAAGAAACAAATTTTTGGTCCGCGAGACTGCCATCGCGGCGTGGCAATATCTGGTTCTGGATATCGCGACCATGCCGGCTATCAAGATGGCCTTGAGCAAACAACAAGAAGAACAAGACCTCTCCGCTCAAGTCCACAAACCCTCCCCAATAGAGCAGTTAATAGAGCAAGTCATCGTGGCCATAGTCGCTTGGCTCATTATATCACGAATCCTGATGAGCTTCTACTATCGCATGATTGCAGTGATCAGTGTGGCCTTGAGGCTTGAATCACCCGAAAAATACCCGCCGTTATTCAATAAAATGGCTGACGCTTATACGTTACGAAATTTCTGGGGGTAAGATAGCACTGCACAATTCCCATAGCTCCCTCTTCTTTTTTTTTCTTTCTTTTACACCACTTCAACTTGGGTACACATAACACTAACACACAGCAAAGAAAATTCTGGCACCAAATTCTCCGAGTCACCTTCACGGCCGTGAGCAACTTCATCACTCGAGATATACTCGGCCTGGCTAAATTGTCCTTACTGGAACGATATACCAATGTGTTCTGCGTCTTCTTTTTGTCGGGTGTTCTGCACCTTACGATGGATGTGATAGTATTGGATTGCACCGTGCGCGAGTCTGGCTCGATGGTGTTTTTCTTGTCTTTCGTGCTTGGGTACATGGTTGAAGATGGTGTCCAGGCTGTGTGGAGGAAGTTGCAAGGTTCCCAGGATGCTGGGAGTAGTAGTGGTAAAGAGCCAGAGGTTTGGAAAAAGGCTCTTGGGTATGTCTGGGTTTCGACATTTCTGACGGTCATGTCGGCGGTGTATTTCGAGCCGGTGCGAAGGCGACCGGAGAGGCAGGTGGGTATGATTCCGTGGAGCGTTGCGGAGGTGATCGGGGTTGAGGTTATGGGGGGGTTGGTTGTTGTGGGTGGGGTGGTTTTGATGGTGGTTTATAAGGTTGAGGTATAATATTACAAGTAGTACGGCAGCGCCTCCGGCGCTGCTTACATAATACTCGACAACACAGATACCCAGTGTAATGGGTAACTGGCCAGTTGTTGTTAGCATTTGTAGAAAATATAACAGTCAGAGTATTACCTTTCTAATATAAATTATATAAATTATAATATAATTTTTTAATATTACTATTAATATGAATCTTTTTACATAATCCTATTAACTATAAATGATATAAATATCTTATCTAATCCCATGTAGCGCAAGTCTTAGAAAGAAGTATTATTAAATCAGATATTTTACTAAAATTAATTCTGATCTGTTATATATAATTAGTTATTATTTTTATTAAATATTAATAGCTAGTCAGATAAGCTGTATTTAATAATAAAATTTTATTAAGTAAAATTTTTTTTTTATTTTTTTTTTATTTCTACTTAGTATATTTCTATTTATTATATTCAGAGTATTCTGTAGCTTATTTATAGTAGAAGTATCCGGAGCAGAGGCTTTAATAATAATCTTAACAGAAATATATATTATATTTATTAAAAATAAATATAGTATTAGTAATAGTCATATAGTTTTCAAGAATTTATATTAATTAGAGATATATCTGTTTCATTTATTTAAGAACTGGTAGATTATTTTAATAAGTATAAATACTTAGATAGAGAGCTCTGGATACTATCTATATTTATTATTTATAAATAACAGCAGTTACTGGAAGTAGAGAGAGTAGTAGAATCTTCTATATTATAATTAATATTAGAAGTATATAATATATTAATTAGCTGAATATAGATTATATACTATTTTTTTTATAAATAGAAATTAATAAAGTATCCAGATATCTGAAGTATTTATTTTTTATAGGAGATCTGCCATTTTTTCTATCTTAGTATATCAGATATTATATATATAATATAAAATATTATATAAATACTGATATGTCAAACCCTAGGATCGCTTCCCTGTCCCAGTTAGCTTAGCCCCGTTGGTATACATACCGCCGAACTACGTCGAGGTGGTATGGACTGATGACTATCAAGAAATAACTGGATCATAGATAAGAGAAAAGAAGTAAGACTGAATAGTACCGCACAGTTATTTATAAATAAATATAAATGAGCATTCTGTAGCTAAGTGTCAAACCCTAGGATCGCTTCCCTGTCCCAGTTAGCTTAGCCCCGTTGGTATACGTACCGCTGAACTACGTCAAGGTAGTATTGACTGATGA